TGATTAGTAGCCCGCCTACCTCTTCAAATGGGCCCTGAAACCCACACAGAGAGCGTACTGCCAATAAATTATTACACACATCTTTCTTCATGCCACGACGCGAAAATATAGCTTGTATTATATTTGCCTTTTCGTGTCTCTCTCTTTCAAACCGACGTTTCCATTATCACGACGTTCTTAGCTTTCTTGGACAAAGAAGAGAAGAAATACAGAAATTTTAAAAGACCCGCAAATCAAGGAAAATTTCCAAATAAACATGTTACATATCTAAATTATTTGTATGCTGACTGTTGCTTCTCAAAATTGTGTTCTCGCAATATTTGTCATCCCTTTGTGGGATGCAATTGTTCGTTATTTGAAGCCCCACCCTGGCTCTTGCCGGGGGCCGCAATATAATCCGGCCATAAATTTGGCCTAATGGCTGAACGCGGTTTCCGGGACCTCTCCACTTGCAACCTCTACGTTGCTACAGCCAGTTTTCTAAACTGTTATTATAAAATCGACATAAATGTGGAGATAACAAATCGACCTAGAGCGTTGATAACCTCTTCTTCATTTTCATGTTCACCGGTTGTAAACTCTGGAGGAAAGTTTTGGTTGTTCGTTCATTTCTGGAACTAGGGGATTTGTCCTATAATTTGAGTTTTCTGTGCACATCCATGTTACATATCTAAATTATTTGTATGCTGCCTGTTGCTTCTCAAAATTGTATTCTCTCAATATTTGTCATTCTTTTGTGGGATGCAATTGTTCGTTATTTGAAGCCCCACCCTGGCTCTTGCCGGCGGCCGCAATATAACCCGGCCATAAATTTGGCCTAATGGCTGAACGCGGTTTCCGGGACCTCTCCACGGGTGATCCTCATCCACATGGTGGCACTTTGTGTCATCGGGTGTTTATCACTTGTGTGATGTCCTAGTGATGTAAAATCTACTACTACTCCTTGATATTAATGATAATGAAGCGCATATTTGAAATGCAAGGGAAATAACTTACAATTGTTCTCTCAATCTAGAATTTTAGAGTTAGAGCACATTGTGTTTCAATATCTTCTTCTTCGCGTTCGCCGGAAAATTTTGTGTTTGTCGACCTCCGGACTTTGGTCATGTTCCAGAAACGGAGTATTGCGGGCACATCCGTTTCACATATCTGGCTTGTTTGGTTTCTTACCTTTCAGGCAGATGTACTCCGACTTCAATGGATGTCCCTAATTTACCTGAAACTATCTCAATATGAGACGCAGTTTTTCGTTTTTTGGAAACCCCACTCTGGCTTTAGTCGGAAGCACTAAAATAACTTAACGGTTGAAGGGGGTTTATATCCTTACGTCCTTTTTAGGACGTAATTTTTTGTTATTTGAAGCCCCACCCTGTCTTTTGCCAGGGGCCGCAATATAGGCAGGCCATAAATATGGCCAATTGTCTGAACGCGGTTTCTGGGACCTCTCCACGGTGATCCTCATCCACATGGTGGCACTTTGTGTTATCGGGTGTTTATCGCTTGTGTGATGTCCTGGTGGGGTAGAAAGTCAGTCAGTCAGTCAGTCAGGGGGTTTATGGGACTTACGCCCGGGTGATTCTCATCTGAATGGTAGCACTTTGTGTCACCGGATATTTGTAGCGGTCCTGGCGGGGTTGAACTTCATTCGGATGCCCCCAGTTAGTTGACTCCTACGACATGCTTGTAGGGGAGGTAGTGGATCTTTTTTTTTTTTTTTCCTACAATGGAGCCCTAGAACCCACACGGGGAATATTTCTATATAACAAGCATATCTTCGGGAAATTCAGTCGTGTCGTGTATTCACATTGCCCATCAAGTGCTGATTAATCTATAAAACATTATTCAAGCACCCTGTGTTTGATTCTGAGAAGGGCTCAGTACTTTTACTTTAATTACGGTGTACTTCTTTGTTCTGGTTTTATGTTTACCAGTGGTGAGGGTGGACAATGAATAAGGCACTAGAACAGAAAATAACTGCATGTAAAATGGGCTGTCTCCGCAAGGTCACTAACAACACAAGAAGAGACAGGGTTAGGAATACCAGCATTAGAGAGAAAGTTGGAAAAAGACCCTGGCTGGATGATAACGTCAGACAAAGAATGAAGTAGTTCAGCTATCTAGTGAGAGTATAGCCAGATCAGACTGCACACGAGAATTTTACAGTAGAAAATCTGGGAGGAAGGCAAGAGGAAGACCTAGAAACCTGCAAAAAGATGAACAAATCCTTCACTTAAGCCACCCGAAAAGCGCAAGACAAATACAGAAAACCACGACACTTAACTACAACCTAGTTTCAGTGAGACGACGAAAGCAAGCAAGCAAGCAAGCAAGCCAGACAGACAGACAGACAGACAGACAGACAGACAGACAGACAGACAGACAGACAGACAGACAGACAGACAGACAGACAGACAGACAGACAGACAGACAGACAGACAGACAGACAGACAGACAGACAGACAGACAGACAGACAGGCAGGCAGGCAGGCAGGCAGGCAGGCAGGCAGGCAGGCAGGCAGGCAGGCAGGCAGGCAGGCAGGCAGGCAGGCAGGCAGGCAGACAGACAGACAGACAGACAGACAGACAGACAGACAGACAGACAGACAGACAGACAGACAGACAGACAGACAGACAGACAGACAGACAGACAGACAGACAGACAGACAGAAAGAAGAAGTCGACACTCCAATTGAACAACACAACAACAACCCCTATCCTCCCCAGGACATTAACTGGTACCAATATAAGGCTGGATCAATTCTGAAAACTTTCGACATGATATGGAATCGAATCCAATATCTTTGGATCCACATGAAAGGGTCTAGTCACTACAAGCGCGCAGCCACGAAGAAAACATAGTTCTCGCCATACACATTTTCTGGTCAGAAAATGGAGAAGGGGGAGGGAGACTTCCCCTCCCCCTCCCCATATTAAGAGAAAATAGAGGCGGGTCTCAGTTCTCCCCCCCCCCCGCCCCAACAACCCTTACCCCACCATCTAGGTAGCAAAAGTAAGCGCAGGGCGAGGAGAAGGGGCGGGGGGGGGGGGGGGGGGTTGCACTCAGACCGTTTCAGCGACCCCATTGAATTAAAAGTGAAAATAAAAATTGGTTAGTTCGACGTTAATCTCCCCAAATAGAGTAGGTCACTTTTCATTCACAAGTTTGTTGGGCTGGTCGACTTTCTTGAAAGTTATGGGTGTGCCCCTTTTGTTGTTTGATTTTGTGATGTCTTGCATTTACGTTTTCATTCCGAGAAAGAGGATGCCTGTGACATAGGTTGCAGCACTCTCTAGGGTGGTTGTGTTAGACCTATTTTCTCCATGTTTTTGTTTTGTGTTAAAAGCACTGGCGTGCTGAAATATATAGCACGCGATATCAACGTTATTGCGGAACACCCGCGTAACCGTGTGTGGAGGTCACGGGGCTTAGAAACTACCAATCAGAAGTGAGCTAGTGTGTATATGGGCGGGGGCTGAGGGAAGGCTGAGCTCTCCTCACTCCACCCCACCACATCGCAACCACGCCCTCCTCAATACCTTACACATTTTCTAGGCAAATAATTTATGGGGGCGGCTAACGCATGAGCCTGTGTGCTACCGCAAGTTAAAGAAAATGACCCTTTACTCATTATTAGCATTGTCCCATGCACGACAGGAGGTGGTTTGGTTAGTTTGACGTTAGTCTCCCCAGACCCCACCCATATACACACTAGCTCACTTCTGACTGGTAGATTCTGAGCCCCGTGCCCTTCACATACGGTTATGGAAGTGTTCCGCAATGCCATTGATATCGCGTGTTGTATATTTCAGCAAACTAGCTCTTTTAACATACTTTTTTTTAAGACATCGCAGAAACCAAACAACAGAGCGGGTCACACCCGTAACCTTTAGGAAAGTCGACCAACCCAACAAACGTCTGAATGAAAAGTGACCAACTCTATTTGGGGAGACTAACGTCGAACTAACCGGCGGTTTGACTCAGGACTTGACTTGGAAGCATTATTGGTAACTTAAGAGTTGACTTTGAACTTTGTGGCAATGACTTGGGACCTAACTTGGACATGAAGGGTGGCGATATAAATAGTTGAATGATTTGATCAATATCACGATAGCCGCTTTTACCTACAAGACTTCACCTGGTGTTCATTTCTGTCTGTGTCGATCTGGAATCTCCAATCTCATTTTAAATAACAAAAATTAACTGAGTTCGAACTCAAGACCTTCGGGAGGGCAGACGAGCATCTAGCCGCTACACTATCGCAGCCCCGCCCCCCTCCCCCCATGCTTATGGACCAATTGATCAGTTTGGTTCTCCGGCTGCTATCGAAATGTTTACAATAATATATAAGTGAATCTGAACGATAGATTAACAAGACAGACATAAGATACCCGGAGCAACCCCCAAAGAAGTTATAAGTAGGCAAACCGACTCTATTTATAAATAGCTCCAGAAGGGCGTAAACAAAGACAGCTGCAACGGCTGGCCCTACACCAGTCCTATGAGAGTCCAGTTTTCCAATTTGATCAACAAAAATTCCAAGCTCGATGGCTTGCTATATTGACACTTGTTAGAGGACTGTTTCTTTGCTATCTTAGATGAATATCTCGTATATTTGTCGCGATCAGTTTCGCCTGAGTTTGTTTGTCTGTGTAACATGTCCAACGTGGTCTGGTTTAGCGGGTTTCGATGGGGTTGTTCCTATGCGAGTAAAGAGGCCAATGCTTATAAGGGCCCTCCACATTTATTGAGTTTCCATCGATATGATTTGTTGTGATTTAACGTGTCCCGTTGCCCAATAGGACCTGGCGCATGCGTACAGAAAGGGTGAAAGCCCTCCTTCACTGAGTACTAGATACTGTGTTTAATTTGTTGTTTGATGCGTGGAATTTGTGACCATATTTTTATACTGTGCAGCCAATATTGCCTAATAAATAAACGAAATATTTTTAAAATATACAATGCGTTTATTCGAATCAACGTTTGGATAGTATTGCAAGCAATGGAGGTTTGCAAAGATGGAATAAGTCATACAACAATTCATGAAGACAATACAACGGCGTCCCAGGTAACGGTGTCAACTTTCAGCGGCGGTCGCACCTCAAGTTTTGAAGCCTTAATAAATATTGACGATGCCTTATTGGAAACTGATAGAAATATAAAGACTTTTGATATACACAATAGGCCTTCTTTGTCAGATTTTGCAGAGAAAATTCGCTTGCTGGAGATTGAAGGAAATAAATTGAGGGAAGCTACCGTATCAAGTTTGGGTAGGTATATTTTATTGTTGACACCGGAAAACGGGTTTGGGAAACTTGTAGAAACTTGCAAATACATATATGTATGGAAACAGTTGTAGGACTAAGAGTGGAGTGGCGATTTCGGTCAGCAGAATGCATAATGTTGAGCTTGATTTTAAAAGTTGGTTCAACTGTTAGAAGAAAGTAATTGCCCACTGCACTTTCTATACACTGTACACCTTGATCAATGGCAGTGTCACAATGACATTGGTGACATTACAGATGGCACGTAATTACAATAATTTAAAATGCTAGCTACAAGTGTAACAGAAAGGCAATGCAGACTTCGTTAAAACCACAAGGGGGGAAAAAAAGCAATAAAAACAGTTGTAAAAAAAAAAAAAAAAAATTGGAATGCCCAGTGTGCAAAGACATGTACTATAATAGCATAACAGAACATAACGTTTACAAAGAAAATAAGACGTTATAGTGTTATACTTAAGGCAGTATCACAGTAAATGGGACCAGCTTAAAGAAAGTCATTATTGTCAAGTATCTAAGTATCTTAAGTGAAGATAGAAAATGTATACCTATAAGAGTTTAAATGTAAAATATTCCTAACAGCAGCAGCCTTTCCGGGTATGAAGAATATTTTCATAGTATATCTTTGTCAGTTGAAATGAGATGGTTAGGCCTACTTCTTTAGGGCTATATTTAGCCAATCATAATTTAGTAAATAATAGACAGATTGACTATTTGTTATTGATATTTGTTCCTTGAGTGTATGTGAACATGCATATATATGTGTGTAAGCAAAAATGTGTGCATGAATTCCCACGTTGGCTTGTGCGTATGTGCGTACATATCCATGTGTGTGTGTATACGCAAATGCGTATGCGCGCAGATCCCTCTCGAACAACCCTCACTAGTTTCTAGAGTACCTCTCCAAGCCATTAGTTTTGGTGCAATTAACATTTCTTAGCCAAAATAATTCACAAAAGGAAATGATAATAACTGATACTACTCACAGTAGGTTGAACATGGTCGATTGTTTTGGTTTGTTTTACATAAATGGATGAATGGATGCAGTACCAAAAACATGTCTGCCTGTTTATTTCCTGATACTCCTGCATACCCTAGGGAAAATATCCAAAAAACTCCTCGGTGATAAATTTAAAATGTCTAACATCATCATCTTTGTCTAGAAAAACCACAACAGCCAAAAAATGCTGGGGTTGGTTATGCAACATCCTGTTAAACTAACTTAATCATCGTCATCATGTAGCATGTCCTTTGCAGAAATAACTCTCATTATGACATTAAAAGTCACCCAGCCATTGCTTGCCTCTGGAACTTACATGCCCAATGTGTTTTTTTCTATGTCCTGTATCTAACATCATACAGGTAGACTCCCGTGTAATCTTCCTGAAACCATACACTCTATCAATGTTTTTTCCAAACCATTCTGGAGTTTAATATGACTGACAAATTTCAATTTCTGAGAAACAGAACTCTCTCTAAGCCAGTCTGCCTCTGTGTTAAGATTCTGAGACATGTCAGCATTTAAAGCTTCTTGTACTTTTTTTTTTAGCAGATATAAATAGTTAACATTAAAAGTTAACAGTCTAACCATGTTAGTAGCATTTCTTTTACTTTTACTTTTTTAAGTTCCCTATGGTTTAGCAACAGGTGCCCGACTGGGATATTAACTACGAGGCACGTTTTTTAAGTAAGTCCCAGTATAAAATTAAACAAACACCATCATATATAAAAAAAGATTCATTTCAGCAAAAAGTGAACCAAACATTTACATTATTTCTCAACATAGTCACTGTTGACTTCAACACATTTTTGGTATCGTGGCACCACGTTCTTAATTCCAATGTCATAGAAGTCTTCCGCAAGTGTCTTGAACCATTCATTAACGCCTGTCTGCAGTTCATCATCTGTTTCAAACCGCTGGGATGCCAGCCACTTTAGGTACATGAAAAGTTGGTAATCATTTTTCGCCATACTGGGGCTGAAGGGCAGGTGGTCAGCAATTTCCCAATGACATTTTGGCAACAATTAAAAAGTTCCATCTGTGACGTGAGATCAAGCATTATCATGCAAAAGCACAGTTCCAGAGGACAACAACTCACATCTTTTGTTTTAGATGGCACGTCTAAGTTTTATTAGTGTCACAATAAGCTTTGGCATTTCCACATTCAAGAAAATCAATAAACAAGACCGCTTTTTTGTCCCAGAAAACAGTGACCATGATCTTTTTGAGAGAGGGTGCTTGACTTAACTTCTTTGCTTTTGGGGACCATGAGTATCGCCAGTGCATCGACTGTTGCTTTGATTCGATGTTTGTGTGGAAATCCAGGTCTCTTGTCCAGTAACAAAGAAAACTAAGATCATGACAAGCAGTCCAAACCAACAACCAGTGACCATAAATAACCAAACTCTTAAAAATGTAGAACATTTTCCATATCTTGGCAGTGTGGTGTCCCTACCGAGACAGCTAGAGCTGCTTTTGGAAGGATGAGGCAAATCTGGAAATCCAACAATTACTGTAGAGAAACGAAACTCCGACTCCACAAGAGCATCATTTTTGCCAGTTCTTCTTTATGGAGTACAATGCTGGAGAATGACCAAAAAAGATGCACACAAGCTGTCCACCTTCCACCACACATGTCTACTTAGAATTTTCAACATTTTCTGGCCAGATACAATCTCAAACACTAAACTACTTCAAGTCACAAACCAAGAAACTTTAGACAGTATGATTACCAAGAGAAGATGGAAATGGCTTGGCCACATTATGAGAATGAATTCTGATATACCTGCCAAAACAGCTCTCACATGGACACCAGAGGGAAAGAGAAAACAGGGGCGCCCAAAAACAACATTGAGATGAACGACGGAAAGTGACCTTAGTGCGGCATCTCTGACATGGAAAACTGCACTGAAGATTGCACAGGACAGGAAAGCATGGAAAGTCCTCTCTGAAGCCTCATTTGCCACTAGGCATAACGAGAACTGATGATGCTGTCCAGTAACAATGTGCCCCAAAAATTCATCCCTCCATTTTGATAGCACTGAAAAATCTTTTAAGTCGAAGCTAGGTGTTTATGCTTGTGTTCATTGGTTAACATTTTCAGTACCCATCTGGCATGCAATTTTTGTTATCCAGGGTTTCTTGTCACAATGTCGTAAATCAGTGAATGTGAAACTTCTGAAAATTTGTCAGTCAACACAGAAATTGTGAACCGACAATTTTTCTCACTTTTTTGGTTCACTTCTTTGATCAAATCGCCTGTCACCACACTTTGCCGACCACTACAATCTTCATCATGGATATTTGTTTGCTCTTTAAACATTCAACAACATTTCCTAATCATTCTGTCAGTCATAAAATCTGGCCCATAAACTCAATGAGTTGCCTGCGAATTTCTGCAGCACTGTTGTTTTTTGCTAAAAAGAAAAAACGGACCACAGCACCAACCACGCAGCTGGCGGGAGTATTTTTTTTTTGCACTCAATATAAATCACCCACATGCAGCATCAAACAAGATTTTAACATTAACAAAAATAGCACACAGCTTGATAATGAACCACATAAACATACTACATATGCACATTTAAGTTTTTCATCACTGTTTTTTGGTGCGGTCAAAATGGGACTTGCTTAAAAAAAAAAAAACTTGTGCTTGGAAAAAAACTGCTGGAGTACATTACTTTTACAGAGGCTAAATACATTGTGACATAGCAATAGAAGGGAAAGTGCTTAACCAAGTCAATAAATTCAAGTATTTGGGGACATTCATAACATCAGATGAACGATGTGTGACGGAAATTAAGAGCAGAATTGGCCAAGCAAAGGCAGCATTTCAGAAGATGAAATGTATCTTATGTAATAAATCACTCTCATTAAACGTCAGAAAACAAGTACTGAAATGTTACACTGAGCCTGTTCTGTTCTATGGCAGTGAATCTTGGAATATGAGAAAACAAATTATGAAAAGTTTGGAGGTAACTGAGATGTGGTTCTTGAGAAGAATGTTCCTTGAACTGCCAGAATAACTAACAATTGTTGCCTGGAAATAGCTATTGAAAGTAGAACATTATATTCAACAATGAGAAGGAGACAAAGTTCTTTGATCATGTGACAAGAAAAGAAGCACTGGAAAATATCGTGATGACTGGAAAGACCGCTGGTAGAAGAGGCAGAGGCAGACCAAGAGAAATGATGGTGGATGGCTAAACACAGTGGTATGGAGGAATATCATTAGTGGAAATGATCCAGAACACCAAAGACTGAGATCTGTGATGATGCATGAAAGTCTACGCCAACTGGCAAGGCACTTGATGAGGATGATGAAAAAACACTGTAGGAATCGTAACTGGGGCTGCCCGATTTCTGAGTATGCTGTGACAAAATGTAGAAATGTTTTACTCATTGTTTTAATGCACATTGTTCTGCTTTGGATCTGAGAATTCTAAATAAACAGAACTGTTACCAAACAATTCACCATTTTTTTCTTGGTCATTCCAAATATAATGTGGTGCTCTTGCTATTCATATTTCCATCCCAGACAGAGGCTATATTACCCTTTGTATGTGAATTATTAGTTTAACTACTGCTGTCCCATAGCATCTATGTTGAGCTTCTTCAAACTTACCTTTCACTGTATGTAAGATCAACATATTTGAATTGAAAGAGTTACAGTAACAGTTGCTTGGGACTGAAACAGGTAAATGTTAACTCAAGACATATAAGGTATGTGAAAAATGTATTTGATTAAATTTGTTTTTATTGTTTTTATTCTTTTTAAAATATTTTTTTATTTCCAGGCCATGTTAATGGATATAGCTTCGATATCAATAATTTTGAGGTGGGTTGATTGTTGTAAAAAAGAATATACTTCATTATTTTCTTGTATTTAAGAATTTTTAAGCTCTTATTTGTTGTGAATTGATTTTCATCACTGGTTTTCTATTTCTGTTTTCATGTGAAAGAGATCTTTATTGTCCTATTTTCATGCTGTGTGGTGAATTACTGAAGATTGTGTGGACAGCCTCTGCTGTGGTACACAAATTTATGCAAGCAGAACATGACTGACACAAGTATTAAGGTGGATTCATGTAAATAGGATACTATGGGCCATGTTTCACGGAGGAGGAAAATCACGAAGAGAATAGAGGCAAAGAAGAAAATAATTTGCAGGTTGGTTAAGAGCAGAGTGTCTGAGAAGAAACACTTTAAATGCATATGATGGCAACGTAGTCTGAAAGCCTTTGCTATTATTGTGTAAGACTTTTCTCATGACAAGTGGGTCTTACAGTTATGACTTCTAAAATAGTAATTCAGAATTATTTGAATTTATGATACATTTCAGGTTGGAAATTCCGCTTGTGGGTTCCGTAAGCCCATTAAAAAAAAAAAGCAACAACGGACGAACGGCTTAAGCATGGTGTTGAAAGCGACTTATTAAAGGTTTTGCTGAAATTGGATGTGTTGGGCTGAAAGGTGTGAATAGCTGCAAACTGTAATCCAAGTGCCAACCACCCTTTTAAGGATTATGAAAAAAAAGTTAAAAATAATACTTTCAGACAGACTTTGGGAACAAAACATACATTAGATTAATCGTGAAAAAATAGATCTAATAGTTTGGTCATCTCGTTAGAATGCAAACAGAACTACCAACACAAGTGCTACACATGACAAGATTTGGTGTGAAAGCTAAAGGTTGCCCTAGGAGAAGATGGATTAATGACATTAAAGACCTCATACACTGACATGAAATGACACTAGCCATTGCTACGCATCACGCAATGGCTCACACACTGTTCCTCCACACAACACTTAATGGCAGAAGTGGAAATTGATGATGATGCAGAAAAAAGAAAAAGAAAAAGGATTCAGAATAAATAAGTAAACACCCCACTTTCACGTTACAGGGTGTATTGGGTTTATGGTACTAGGTTCATGATATTTTCATAGACCTCAGGCAGTTGATAGATAACATCAGGATTACACTACTATCTTTAATTCTCAGAACATTTCCCAGTATCCAGTTTAGCCAGAGTCTACCACAATGGTTCTCAACATTCCTAATGCTATGACCCTTTTAATGTTTCTGTTCATTAGGGGGCGCAAGGAGTTGCATGCGCATTCACAACACAGAACCAAAATCGCAACTGTTCTCACAGAGTGTACTCTCAAACAACAACGTGCTTTTGTGCGTTTCTTTGGGCCAAAGCCTGCCTTTAAAAGACATTCAAAAGGAAATGCTTGTTGTTAATACAGTTCCTCATGTTAATTATTTATCTCTCCTTGAGATTTGTTTCTTCTTCTTAGCATTCACAGACTGTAAACTCCATTGGTAAATTCCGGTTGTTCGTCTACTTCTGGACTTTGGTCTTGTTCCAGAACTTGAGTTTTATTTATACATCCATTTTACAGATCTGGCTTATTTGTATGCAGGCTGTTGGTTCCTCGCCTCTCAGGCAGATGCGCTCTAACTTAAAAGGAAAAAGCCTTATTTGTTAGCTTTTACGACCTGCTTGTTAGAAGGGCAGTAGGTATATTCATTTTCCTGTAACGGGGAGTCTTGAGATTTTAAAACAGGCCACTGAGCCGGCAACATAGCATGCCAGTCACTGTTCTACCACACTACTGAGCCGGCAACATAGCATGCTAGTCACTGTTCTACCACACTACTGAGCCGGCAGCATAGCATTCTAGTCACTGTTCTACCACACTACTGAGCCGGCAACATAGCATGCTAGTCACTGTTCTACTACACTACTGAGCCGGCAACATAGCATGCTAGTCATTGTTCTACCACACTACTGAGCCGGCAACATAGCATGCTAGTCATTGTTCTACCACACTACTGAGCCGGCAACATAGCATGCTAGTCATTGTTCTACCACACTACTGAGCCGGCAACATAGCATGCTAGTTACTGTTCTACCACACTACTGAGCCGGCAACATAGCTTGCTAGTCACTGTTCTGCTACACTACTGAGCCAGCAACATAGCATGCTAGTCATTGTTCTACAACACTACTGAGCCGGCAACATAGCATGCTAGTCATTGTTCTACCACACTACTGAGCCGGCAACATAGCATGCTAGTCATTGTTCTACAACACTACTGAGCCGGCAACATAGCATGCTAGTCATTGTTCTACCACACTACTGAGCCGGCAACATAGCATGCTAGTCATTGTTCTACCACACTACTGAGCCGGCAACATAGCATGCTAGTTACTGTTCTACCACACTACTGAGCCGGCAACATAGCATGCTAGTTACTGTTCTACCACACTACTGAGCCAGCAACATAGCATGCTAGTTACTGTTCTACCACACTACTGAGCCAGCAACATAGCATGCTAGTCATTGTTCTACAACACTACTGAGCCGGCAACATAGCATGCTAGTCATTGTTCTACCACACTACTGAGCCGGCAACATAGCATGCTAGTCATTGTTCTACCACACTACTGAGCCGGCAACATAGCATGCTAGTTACTGTTCTACCACACTACTGAGCCGGCAACATAGCATGCTAGTCACTGTTCTGCTACACTACTGAGCCAGCAACATAGCATGCCAGTCATTGTTCTACAACACTACTGAACCGGCAACATAGCATGCTAGTCATTGTTCTACCACACTACTGAGCCGGCAACATAGCATGCTAGTCACTGTTCTACCACACTACTTAGCCGGCAACATAGCATGCTAGTCACTGTTCTACCACACTACTTAGCCGGCAACATAGCATGCTAGTCACTGTTCTACCACACTACTGAGCCGGCAACATAGCATGCTAGTCACTGTTCTACCACACTACTCAGCCGGCAACATAGCATGCTAGTCATTGTTCTGCTACACTACTGAGCCGGCAACATAGCATGCTAGTTACTGTTCTACCACACTACTGAGCCGGCAACATAGCATGCTAGTCACTGTTCTACCACACTACTGAGCCGGCAACATAGCATGCTAGTCACTGTTCTACCACACTACTGAGCCGGCAACATAGCATGCTAGTTACTGTTCTACAACACTACTGAGCCGGCAACATAGCATGCTAGTCACTGTTCTACCACACTACTGAGCCGGCAACATAGCATGCTAGTTACTGTTCTACCACACTACTGAGCCAGCAACATAGCATGCTAGTCACTGTTCTACCACACTACTGAGCCGGCAGCATAGCATTCTAGTCACTGTTCTACCACACTACTGAGCCAGCAACATAGCATGCTAGTCATTGTTCTACCACACTACTGAGCCGGCAACATAGCATGCTAGTCACTGTTCTACCACACTACTGAGCCTTGCAGCATAGCATTTTAGTCACTGTTCTACCACACTACTGAGCCGGCAGCATAACATTCTAGTTGCTGTTCTGCCACACTCCCAGATTCAAAGTAACACATTTTAATTACTTTTCTAATCTTAGTAAAATGTTGCAAAGCTGCTTGAAGTGTTTGTTGCAGTAACCACTTCAGTCCTTCAGGAAATATATACAATAGGAAGATAGTATGTCAGATTAACATGTTAAGGCTTTTGTATTAGATAAGATCAAACTACTAAATGTAAAATGTGCCTATAAAAACTACAACAGCCAAAAAATGCTGGGGTTGGTTCTGCAATGTCCTGTAAATAATACGCATTAGATAAGATATATTTCTCAAGATAGAACAGGTAGATAGTAAAAATATCTTTAACTCTTTACTTTTAGAGCCATGTTCATACTCCAACCCTAAAGTTAGTTGCATATCCTTTACAGCAGTGTTCTCAATCTGCTTTTTACATCCGTGGCCTAACAGAACGGGCAAAATTGTTTGAAGGCCAATCTGGCTGATAATTAAACACACAAAAACAAAGTAGGTGGCAGTTTTTGTGTGAAATCCATGTCACAAAAGACAATTTTCAGCTAATGTAACATCTGCTGCTGCTGCTTAGAGGTTAGAAAATCTGACAGATGATGTGCTGCATTAACTTCTTTTGATTTCTCTGTTTTGGGTTTTATTACTGATGTGGCTGAGAAAAGCTCTTCCCACAAATAAGAAGTCGAAGCAAAAAACGACCAACAATCTGATAGTGTATAATTCAGACATGGATTTTCTTTTTTTCCCGAGTTGTATCCAAAAGTCACACAATGATTGCATTTTATGTCTGGACTCAAGATTGACTTTAGAAAACAATTCGATCAGCTTTTCTTTCTAATTAAAGTTTTCAGGCAATGTATTTGACTGCTGACTTGGTATGTTGAATACCTGTTTGATTCTCATCCTTTAAGTGTTAATTCTACAAACTGCAATCCTGGAAGAGACACACACTACCCCCGAACCCTGTTAAATGCATCGGCAGGTATGTTTGGAAGCCCACCTTGGCAGTTACATGACCTAGCAGTGGGCCGGGATCCATGGTTTGAAGAACACTGCTTTACATGACATTGTTGGCTGTTTGTGGTTTACTAGACCAGTTTATCTTCAGTAGTTTGTCATTAAGGCAATTACTAATAAACTACAAATATTCATTAACTGATGCCTGCACAGGGTAGAGGGAATTACATGGCATGATAGAATCACAAATATAGAGCTTTTGGAGAGAATCAAACAAGTCCGGTGGACCAAGAGGTGAAGAAGAGACGCTGGCATTGGATAAGGCACATGACGAGAAAACCTGAGAACAGTATAACTAGAATATCTTTGCACTGGAACCCACAGGTGCCTAGCAATAAAGGAAGACAAAAAACACATGGAGAAGAGAGCTAGAGAGTGAAATCACAAAGATAGGGAGGACATGGGAAGAGCTGCATGCAATAACAAAGGATAGAATGATGTGGGGGTTAGAAAGGCACGAGAAGAAGTTTGTCATTGCCTTCTGTAAAAGGACTCCTTTTCACACCTTCAGGCGTGTAGGTCTCGATCTATATTTTATAGACTGATCCATCTTTACTTGCGAGCCACACTAAAACGTTACAATGGGTATAGAGCGAGCGAGTGGAAGACCTAGAAAAATATGGAGTGATGGTATTAATAACAGCCTTACAGAAATGAACTCAATCTTAATAGTGCTCTTGACAGAGCTCATCAGGACATTACCTGGTACCATTTAGGGCTGGGCGACCTGGGAGCCACGGTCGTAAGGATTCAGTGCTTTTACCATCATCAGTTGTTTACTATTACCAAAAATCAATGCAAAACAGTCTTCTTCCAAATTGCCTGCAGTTGAATTGAACTAGGTGTGTCAGAATTATAAATTTATGTTCATAACCCCCAAAGTTACAGGCTCTGATTTCTATCATAAACATGTCTTTAACCTTTAAGCTATTTCTGCATTTATATATAATGTTACAAGAACAATAGTATGTTTGCTTATCACTGTTATAAATTAATCTGTTATTATAGTCAAAGTTTTCCAGGGCAGCAGCCATTTATGCCCTACTCTCTATGATTTCCAACTATCTAGTTTGTGCTACATGCACACTGAATTTTATCCTAGTAGACTACAGAATGAATACATTATTCCCCAAGCGGAGGAAGTATATTATCCTTAGATCACTTATTTATAAAAACCACTCCCCAATTCAGATCCAGCTCTCTTCATGTCCTTATAAGTCACTATTTACTCATTTCCATACACACCATGTCTGTTTTACAGATCTGGCTTATTGTTATGCAGCCTGCTGGTTCCTCACCTCTCAGGCAGATGTACTCCAGCTCTGAAGGAAATACCCCTGATTAGTAATCTCTTACGACATGTCTGTTGAGGGGGGTGGGGTGTGGTGTGGGGTGTGGTGGGGGGGGGGGGGGTGTGGAGTGGGTCTATTTTTGGTTCTCCATAGTTGAGCCTTGGAACCCACATGGGCAGTCTTAAGTATGCAAGAATGTAAGTTTCATTGTTTTATTTATCGTCATAGCGCATGTTTATTTTGTTTTCATCTGCAGATTCCAAAGATCCAGTCTCCCAGTCTAGACAGTTTGTCTGCTCTGATTGATATTTCAGCTGAACAAAGGTTTATCTCAGATCTCAGGTGGGAATTTTTTTTTCTTATTCTTAATTTTCTTGTTTTATTTTCATGTTAGGACATTCAAATATAATTTCACATTGTTAATCTAGTCGTCTTAAGTGAGTTGTTGGACATTAACCCTCTGGAGACAACGCTGACAAAATATCGGCCCGACACACAGTAGCCAAAAGGACGACTTCGCCGATTGGTCGGCCGTATGTAATACTCGCCTTGAGATTGACTGGCAGGTTTTCTTACCAGCCAATCAGATTGCTTCTCACATTTATTGCACATGTGGGCTGTTTATTGACGGCTTTCGAGAAAGTTTGATGTGTTCTGTATTTTTACATCGTTTTTTTGGGTTACCTGTGCGCAATAATGGCGAAAAGGACTGTTGGGTCAGAGCAACTGAAACATAGCTGGAGGCAGGAAAATGAGTAGAACCATATGCCAGACATGTCTGAAGGGCCTCCAAGGGCCTTACTTCCCAAAACACAAGTGTTAGGACTTATTCAAGCTTCATTCATCAAAGAATTCACCCACATTTTTTTTTAAAGTTAGTCATGTTTGTTCATAAGTTTTAAAAAAATGATTGCATAAATTATGCAAATCAGAATAGTTAATTCAAATAAATGTTTAGATTTCAGTTTGATTCATAAATATTCTTTTAGCTCATTCAATTTCCTACACGAATATTTACAGTTTTCTATATGTTAATGAAACGCTTAATTTTTAAAAATTTTTTATGTATAAACTATTAGAATCCCCTCCTGAAGGCATGGTCATTTTGGCACTGAAACTCCAAAAAGGCTCCGTCTCCAGAGGGTTAACGATTTTTTCAGTCATTATCTTTTAGTGTTTTCGCTACATCAGGTTCTTTCACAAAAGGTGTTTAAAGACGATTCGGTTAAGATGAATTTCAACACTTTATTTTATTATTTGAGTCTCCAGTTGATACACATTTTGAAAACACAAACTCTTGATTTTTCAATCCCTTGGAATTCATTTTAATAGACAGTACTGCAGATAGTGCAGACTGATAATATATTTTATCTTTATTCTCTATAGAACTCAGTTGGAGAAACAGAGCAAGGAGACGGAGCGTCTCCAGAAGCAACTTGGAGATGTCTCAACCCTATGCAGCACTTCTACCTCACTTCACTCCAGCAGCCAAAATTTGTGCCCCAACTTTGACCACAATATGGGCTCTGTAGGCAACAATGCATTTATATATCATTCCTGCGGTCCAGAAAAGCTGGCGTTTTCTGTCGTGCCCAACAGTGAGCTGCGGCAGTCATTGAGCTGTAGGAATTTCGATTATGAACCTCCGTATGTATGAGTTCTCATTTTTTAAGAGTTTCACATGGATCATTATCTGTTTTCATATTGTAACAATCTAAGATGTGTAACAGGAAATATTATAGGAAATAAAGGCTACCAAGCATTATAATGACCACATTCACTACCATGTTTCCCCAAAAATAAGACAGAGACATATGTAAATTGTTGCTTTAAAAATACACTAGGACTTATTTGTTTTTAGATTCTTCATCAGGTAGGACTGAGATACCGTATAACAGTAGCCGGTACCACCTGTCTTCTGTAACGCCGAATGTTGGGTGGCGTATACCAAACCTGACATCCCATATTGTGCTGACAGCACAGATACAAAAATCTACATTTATTTAAATACAGTAAATACAGTCATGTTATCTTCTTGAATAATGATTCAACCTCTAGTGTTGAGTTGAGTCAAGAACTGACATCACAGCACTCAGGGTATTTCCTTGTGTACTCCGTCCTCATCTTCAGCAGCCAGCACAGAGTTCCAATACTGATGGTACTGGTCACAATCTGATTGTAGGTCGGTCTTGCCTTTCCTCTGAGTGTAGTGAGCTGGCCAGACCCTCTGGTTACAACCAGGTGCCTCATTCTTTCCAGGCCATAATAATCTTGTTTTTCTACTAATTCGGTTGCTTGTTCCCAAGGGCCTTGACCACATCTGCCTTGTCATGTATCACTTCACCACCCAGTGGTGCAGATCCAGCCAATCTGTCTGCCTGTTCATTCTCCACCATGCCGGCATGGCCTGGAGAATAGATCCAAAGTTTGCTCACTACCCATGACCTTCCCAGTGAAGCTAGCCACTCTGCTCAAAGCATCCCCGTTTTCACCTTTCTCAGTATGCTTTCAGAGTTGAAGCACATCCATTCGTTATCAAGTGTGCACTAGTAGTATCTGTACTCCGACTGGCCATTCGACAAGTGTCTCATTCTAGCTGACAATCTGAACTAGGGCTTGGATCGAAAGGTCCCAGGTTCAGGTCCTGACAGAGCCAGACTTTGTTTCATAAATGACCTTGCCTCCCAGATCGACCCAGCCTTAAATGGGTACCAGGAAAAGTCCTGGGAAGTAAAGGCAGCTGGTGTGATGTTGATCACCTCACCCACAGAATATTGATTGGTCTATAAAATCTAGGTCTAGCCCTATATGCCCATTATGCTTGAAGGCATGTTTGAAACAAAGTCCTGGCTCTATCAGGACAACAACAAATGACCTTCTAATGCACAGGCGAGCATCTAGCCGCTACACCATGGCGGCTCCCTCACAGTTTATATATATATATATATATATATATATATATATATATATATATATATATATATATATATATATATATATATATATATATATATATAAATGGCGAAAAGGAGAATATTATCCTTATGTAGGAAAGTGGAGTAAGCGGGAGAGGAAGAGAAACACTAAAGAATATATGCACTGAGGCACTGAGACAGCATCAGTGCCAATCTATCACTTAAACATGTCTTCAGCGCATAGCAACAAATGGCCGATGGCGTCTGCCAGTGACGCAGGTTTTTGTATGAGATGAGTGCTCTGATTGGCTGAACAAAGCATTTCCTCAATAAATGGACCAATGAAAATTTGTCTTTTATGCTGTGAGCCAAAAAAATTGATTGTATAGGCCTCGTACATCGGAACAATTTACAACTTAAAAGAAGTCTTTAAGTCAACTACAAGTTTCGAAACAATTTTTTTAAGTTTTTGCATATGTAATGAGCTTTAAAACTCCGATAAATAAGTTATACATGTTTCAGCAAATGCAGAAATAGAGCTTTAAAACATACTGCTTTTTAAACCCTGTTTGCACAGCTGTTTTCTACTAGGGATAATTGTGAATTATGTACGGAAACCCTAAATGGTCAAATTTTACAATTTCAATTTGGTCCCTCTGCTTAAGAGAGAAAGAGAGAGAGAGAGAGAGAGAGAGAGAGAGAGAGAGAGAGAGAGAGAGAGAGAGAGAGAGAGAGAGAGAGAGAGAGAGAGAGAGAGAGAGAGAGAGAGAGAGAGAGAGAGAGACATAAACTGTCACTGCTGTGTGTATTTACAAATTTTTACTGCAGTGTAGACAAGGAGGTCATGAGCATGAGGATTTAAGACCACATTGAAGACCACATGGTTAGTGGTATTGCCCCAGGCTGTGAAGGTTAGAATGTTTAATTTAGCCCCCCCCCCCCCACACACCCACCCCTTCCTCATGCCCTGAGAAGTGCTGAACCAAACAATGGTGCTCCAGGACCAGTGTCATACAGGTCAAGACCTATCAACATCTCTCTGAGGTCATCTTAGAAGCAGGTTCCCAACCATGGGCCTGGTCATCGTTGATTTGATTGACCTTTTCTTATGAAGTCCTAGTGCATCTGCCTGAGAGGCAAGGAACCAACAGTCTTTACACAAATAAGCCAATTCTGTAAAATGGATGTGCATGTAACGCTGAAGTCCTGGAACAAGGTCGAAGTCTAGAAGTGGATGAACAGCCACTCAGGATTTGTTGCCTGGAGTTTGCAGCCAATTCCATATTATCATTATCATCACTATCATCATTATCATCATCATTATCATCATCATTATCATCATCATAATCATCATCATCCTGATGTGCCCTTAAAGGTCACATAGGTCTCACACTCTATTCTTCCATTCTATCCTATCCTGTGCAGTTGTTTCGGTATCATGGATGGAATTCAGTCCAGCAGCTAATTCTCTTTCTAACAGCCTTCATTATTTTAGAATGCCAACATTATGAGACAGGAATAGGTAAATACTGGCTTTTGTCTGCAGATCCAGGCCTCATCTGCAGAGATCACTGAAAGAATCACAAGAGCACATTATGGATCTCAGACAAAAATTGCAAGAGGTAATTATAAACAAGATGAACACAGATTTTGTAGTCCTTTTTGTTGTAAGACTTTCTTCTTCTTGATTTTTTTGTTTTATTTTATTGATTCTCTATCTGCAGTCCTGTGTCCTGTTTAAGGAGAATTCTACGAATATTTTGGCCAAACAAGATCACAAATGAAGAACTGTGGAGGAAAACAGAATGTGCATCACTGGCAAATGTTATCAAAGTAAGACGATGGATATGGCTTGGACATGTTTGCAGAATGCCTTGTGACACTCTGGCAAAAACAGCTGTCCCGTCGACAACAGATGGGAAAATAAGACGTGGACAACCTAAGGAAACGGGAAACAATAGAACGGGAAATGAAGAAATGTAAACTGACATGGGCAGAAAAGCAGCAGAATGGCAGCAAAGGAGATCACTTATGAATGCCTTATGTGTCAACAGCGACATGAAGAGGATATAGAATAGATAGAATCCTGTCTCTAGAAAGAAATCTGTTTGGTGCCTCAAAATGCACTTATGCACCAAGTTAATAATTACCATATTGTGAAAAGAAGGAGATGAGTTTATATTTATAGAGAAATCATTAAGATTCAGTCAGTTCATGGGCGGCACCTAGGCATGTGTGACCTAGCTGCTCAGACTCTGTAGTAACGCATCTGAAGAGATACCGCGAAATATTCCTGGCAATAAATTGTGCAATGTATTGTTTGTGTCCGCATTATTTAAATTCATTACGGGAAAACATTGTTTTGAATAATTTTGATTATCCCTTTATAAACTGATATAGACTATAGACTGCAGATTCAACAAACTCTCATGTAATTAAAGTTTGAGCCAAAACAGCTCTCTGTCAGTGTCTTCATGTTGAATAGACTCCAGAACAGTCTTGCCAGACTGTCCTCTTCTGGCATTGGCCACACCCAGTAGAACTGACAACTAAACTTTGGGGAAACCTAAGAGACTTTGAGATGGCATCCCAGTTTATGGCCTACAGTGGATTAAGCACATTACCAAAGATCACAAATGTAGTATAATAAGTTGTCTCATAGCACATACTGCCATAAAAGTATGAAACGTTAAGCTTTCACATATTCTAAGCCTTGAAATTTGAAGTTAGGTGGTCATTTACTTTTCTCTTCACCCTACCTGCCAAGGCAATTCTTAAAATATTCTGGTACCTAGGTTCTGTGGACTGGAATACTATAGACTGAGAAGAAAAGAAATATTGACATCCTAAAAGATCTTAACATCAAGGAACATTTGCGAGTGAACAGCATCTTGTCTCGAAAACTTAAATATAGGAAAAGGCATGGTACAAGAAAAGAAGATGGGCAGAGGATATAAGTGACACCTTGGGTAGAAAAGTGCAAAAGGTGGGAAATGTGACGAGAGACCAGGTTTCTTTCAGGTAGGCCATGATGAGAGGGATGTTCTGCAAAAGACCTGCTACATGAAGATGATCTGGTACCAAGGTCCATCTTGAGCTGTAAATGGTTAGGAAAAATATTGCTACTTCTGCCGGGGGACCTTACGCTTACTTGTATGTCACTGGGGCTTAGAAAAGAATCCATGTTGTTTATGAATTATGGTTTCATAAGATATTTTGTGGGCATTATTAGTAAATAGCAGTCTGGGGGGATTAGCTTGTTAATTGTCTGTTTTATATATTTTTTAATTTTAGTTAACTGAATCATCAGAACAACAAAAAAGACAGTTTTCCAGGACAGTTGAAGATTTGAGGACCAAACTGCATGATACAATGCTCAACAGAGATACAGTTCTTGAGCTGAGGTAAAATATTTTAGTCAAATAACCTGTTTTACACAGCAAGAAGCAAGTACTGACTGTGAAATTTTTTCTTAAAACTTTCCACCAAAGGGCACATAGAGGTATTATGGTCAGTGTATGTCACTAGCAGTTTTGATTTTCCCAGACCCTATAGACCGTCTCAAATACAACATATCAAGGCAAAACTTCTCGCCATGAGAAACACTGGTGCGAACCGAACATTACGGGCCACTAAGTGAATTAAATTAGACAGTGAAGTTCTTACTAGAGACAACATTGCAGATATAAATAATCTGTTTAAGGCCCAAAAAAAAAAAAGGAACATTTACCCAGAAAAGTATTTAGACCCATTTTATGAGTCTGGGTTAACATCGAAGTCATTTAACTTCAGAAAAACTTCTCACCATCTGAAGTGGATTGACTCCCTAGCTAACTGCATTTTTTAACCAGTTCACCAGTTATGCTAAAATGGATTCAAAATAAGGGTCTCTTTGACTTATGACCGAGTTCCGTTCCAACAAACAAGACTCAAGTTGAACTGGTCTTAAGTCGTATTTATCTTTCCAACACAATTTTCTTTCGAACAGATTTTAAAAATTTTACATAGAATATAAAAATGCAATCTATGTACTTATAATTATTGTACATAATGTGAAAACACTACTATTGCATCAAAGATGATTTATGTTGATAACACTAAAGTAGCTGGCTCATTAGTTGTGTTGTTATGTATTCACTATTGCATCAAAGATGATTTATGTTGATAACACTAAAGTAGCTGGCTCATTAGTTGTGTTATAATGTATTCACTATTGCATCAAAGATGATTTATGTTGATAACACTAAAGTAGCTGGCTCATTAGTTGTGTTGTTATGTATTCACTATTGCATCAAAGATGATTTATGTTGATAACACTAAAGTAGGTGGCTCATTAGTTGTGTTGTAATGTATTCACTATTGCATCAAAGATGATTTATGTTGATAACACTAAAGTAGCTGGCTCATTAGTTGTGTTGTTATGTATTCACTTTAATGATAAGACAGTCTGTATTCAGTGTCAGTCAGTCTGCACCACTTGGTAGTAAACTGATGCATGACAAGCTAGATGATGTGAGCGCCCTCTGGAGGTGAGTGAACAGTGCAGAAGTGCAAACAGATCATTATGGTCCGAGGAGAATGGCCCCGTAAGGAGTTACCAGGGGATTTGGCTGATTTGAGGTGGTAGTGGTGGGGGGGGGGGTCGGGAGGGGGGGGGGGGGTGTAGAGATAGAGTTTCTGGAAGATATTCAACACTGAAGGGAAAACAGGCAGAATTATAATCAGGTTGCAACTGGTACTACCAGCATGTTGACTTTGTTGGCTACTGGAGAAGAGGATGGAGTGCGTGTGGGTATGTCTCAAGTGCAGTGATGTCAATTCTAGATCCATTCATTCATGTGCACTCTAATTAAACATCTGTTTTTTTGTTTTGTTTGTTTTAAGGCAAAAAGAATCAAACAGCCAGGGACTTTTGATAAACAAACTACAGTCTTCCTTCACCCAGCTTCAAGAGAAATACACTTTGCAAGAAGAGGTAACGTGTCCAGTCATTTTATATCAAAGTTAAAATCATGGACAAACTGAAGCTGCAGAATGTGTAGATATTTTGTCAGAGCTATTGGTGGGATTTATGCTTACAAATAAACCAGATCTGCAAAACTCAAGATCAAAGTCTAGGAGTGATCAAACAACCAGAACTTTCTGCCAGAGTTTATAGCCAGGCAAGGTTAAGGACCGGATTTGATCCCATATAGCTCAGTCTCTTTCCACAAAATGTCAAGCGCCTGCTGAGAGCATTGCACAGAGCACGAACTCCATAGCTCCGGTGATGATCCCCATGGATCTCTGTAAAAATTGCGCTCATGAACTGAACAGCATAGCCATGAAGCGAAGCCTGGACCTTCAGAGCGTGAGGCAAACGGCCTGACCACTTTGCCCCAGGTTTATGAAATTAAGTAGTAACTTTTAAAACCATATTGAAATTAAGTAGTAACTTTTGAAACCATTATGAAATTAAGTAAGAACTTTTGAAACCATTATGAAATTAAGTAATAACTTTTAAAACCATTATGAAATTAAGTAATAGCTTTTGAAACCATTATGAAATTAAGTAATAACTTTTGAAACGATTATGAAATTAAGTAATAACTTTTGAAACCATTATGAAATTAAGAAATAACTTTTGAAACCATTATGAAATTAACTAGTAACCTCATTCTTTATTGTTATCTAGACCCTGGCCTCAGTTTCCAAGAAACTTGATTTCTACAATCAGAATGACTATGAAATGGAGGCAGCACTGTCTCAGATCAGAAATATTCTTGTAGAGAGGGAGAAGAAACGTGGGCAGCCATATTTTGAAGCTGAGCCAGCTACTAGTCAGAGTGCCACCATGTTGGCTCATACATTTGAGAATTGTCTGCAGGAGCTGGATCACTTGATTAGTGTCAAAACTGGCAGGGTATCAGAGGTTGGTGTTTGTTGGTTAATGTTTTTGTAGGGTATTGGAGGTTGGTGTTTGTTGGTTAATGTTTTTGTAGGGTATCAGAGGTTAGTGTTTGTTGGTTAATGTTTTTGTAGGGTATTAGAGGTTGGTTTTTGTTGGTTAATGTTTTTGTAGGGTATTAGATGTTGGTGTTTGTTGGTTAATGTTTTTGTAGGGTATTAGAGGTTGGTGTTTGTTGGTTAATGTTTTTGTAGGGTATTAGATGTTGGTGTTTGTTGGTTAATGTTTTTGTAGGGTATTAGAGGTTGGTGTTTGTTGGTTAATGTTTTTGTAGGGTATTAGATGTTGGTGTTTGTTGGTTAATGTTTTTGTAGGGTATTAGATGTTGGTGTTTGTTGGTTAATGTTTTTGTAGGGTATTAGATGTTGGTGTTTGTTGGTTAATGTTTTTGTAGGGTATTAGAGGTTGGTGTTTGTTGGTTAATGTTTTTGTAGGGTATTAGATGTTGGTGTTTGTTGGTTAATGTTTTTGTAGGGTATTAGATGTTGGTGTTTGTTGGTTAATGTTTTTGTAGGGTATTAGATGTTGGTGTTTGTTTGTTAATGTTTTTGTAGGGTATTAGATGTTGGTGTTTGTTGGTTAATGTTTTTGTAGGGTATCAGAGGTTGGTGTTTGTTGGTTAATGTTTTTGTTTTGTAGGGTATTTGAGGTTGGTGTTTGTTAATGTTTTTGTTTTGTAGGGTATTAGAGGTTGGTGTTTGTTGGTTAATGTTTTTGTAGGGTATCAGAGGTTGGTGTTTGTTGGTTAATGTTTTTGTAGGGTATCAGAGGTTAGTGTTTGTTGGTTAATGTTTTTGTAGGGTATTAGATGTTGGTGTTTGTTGGTTAATGTTTTTGTAGGGTATTAGATGTTGGTGTTTGTTGGTTAATGTTTTTGTAGGGTATCAGAGGTTGGTGTTTGTTGGTTAATGTTTTTGTAGGGTATTAGATGTTGGTGTTTGTTGGTTAATGTTTTTGTAGGGTATTAGATGTTGGTGTTTGTTGGTTAAAGTTTTTGTAGAGTATCAGAGGTTGGTGTTTGTTGGTTAATGTTTTTGTAGGGTATCAGAGGTTGGTGTTTGTTGGTTAATGTTTTTGTAGGGTATTAGATGTTGGTGTTTGTTGGTTAATGTTTTTGTAGGGTATCAGAGGTTGGTGTTTGTTGGTTAATGTTTTTGTAGGGTATTAGATGTTGGTGTTTGTTGGTTAATGTTTTTGTAGGGTATTAGAGGTTGGTGTTTGTTGGTTAATGTTTTTGTAGGGTATTAGATGTTGGTGTTTGTTGGTTAATGTTTTTATAGGGTATTAGATGTTGGTGTTTGTTGGTTAAAGTTTTTGTTTTGTAGGGTATTAGAGGTTGGTGTTTGTTAATGTTTTTGTTTTGTAGGGTATTAGAGGTTGGTGTTTGTTGATTAATGTTTTTTGTTTTGTTTGACAGTGATGAATTTCAAAATATGTAGCCCATCTGTTCGTTTGATCTTTAGTGTTGGTGAGTGCCTTTGCTTGACAATTTTTGATTGACCCAATTGGCTGACTATGTTTACGTACTAATTTCCTTGTGTTACTGTAGAGGTCATGATATTTCCTTTTCCTGTTGCTGTCTCCACCTCTTGTGCTAGGTCATGTACGTATTTGCCACCTAATTTCCTTATTAGCTTGTGTGTATTTTTCATAAGCTCTAGCTTTAGCAGCTCTATTTTGCTATGGTTTAGATCTACCTTTTTACTTTTCATTTCTTCATTAGTTTTAATGATTTCAGGCATTATTCACACCTTATTTTTATTTAAAAAATTTGTTTCCTAGTCCACATATTCCCATAATCTCTTCGTAACCTGTGTTGTCTGCTTCTATCTTGGCATTCAGGTCACCCATCAAAATATTTTGAAGTTGCATGTAAAATTCCTCTTCAAATGATTCACCCTTGTCAGTGCATAACACTCTATTACGGACATGTTCACCTTCTGTTTCATTGTTCTAAATGACGCTCTTATTATTCTAGGACTCAGAGCTTCCATTCTGTTAGTGCCCTTTCTGCTTCTTTTACTAGCATCAAAGCCACTCCTTAACTGTAATGGAGAATTCTCTCTGTATGTCCTGAGAAAAAAATTGTTTCTCCTGAATAAATTCAGGAGAGTACATTTTTCCACTCCAGTCCATCTAGTTTCACATAATCATAAAATATTAGTCCTACACTGTTTCATTTTCCTTAATAGCTCTACTGTTATGCTTAAATCGTACAAATTGTAACATTCCAGGTTCCACTACTGGATATTTCCTAGGTGAATGGAAGTACATCGATTATCTGAACTCCTTTCATCTTTTCCCTACCATATTATGATTCTTCTGTTAGAAGAACCTCCCCTCATGTTTGTTGGCTGGGTTTTTGCTTGTTTCTCTTTATGAATTTTCCATGATTGATTGTTTTTTGTGGTGAGTGTTTTTCTTGATGAGCCAGCCAACTCCAAGCCCAGCCCTACCCTTAGTCGCCTCTTATGACATGCCTGGTAGGGTGCAGTGTTACTATTCTTTGCAACCTGTGAGGGCCCTGATAACACACCTGTGAATTTATTAGTTATCTGTGTAAAAATAGGATTTTCCAGGGGTTCATGCCTCCCCCCTCCATTTTTTAAAGCATTCACCAGGTGAAACAGTTTACAGATTAAGGAATAATAGAACACATTTTAATGTAAACATTGACTGAGAGACACACTGGCACACACACACTGGCACACACACATGTATATATAAACCTGGCATTATAGCTAGACCTCAACACTAATTCCCACATAGATACATTGATTTTCTTGCTCTAACAGCTGGAGGCAGATGTGAATGAAATCAAGAGACACTCAGCAGAGAGGGAGAAAGCTCTGGCCAAAGAATATCAGGAAATGTAAGTTTTGTTGGCAGCAATATAGGAGTAGGCATTTATAATACTAGGTCCTAGAGTTGTAAAGTTAAAAGGTAAAAACAAAATTATGTGCCTTCGTCACAATGACAGTTGGCTACAGTTTACCTATTGCTGTCAGTACAGGAGTGCAGAACATGTATATCAGCGATGTCCGTCCCCATGCAGGACCCAATTTTTGTTTAGTTATTTTGAAGCCTTAATCTGGCTGTTGCCAGGAACCCTAATATAACCCAACCTGTAGGTCAAACAGGGTTTTTGGGACTTCTCCTTAGGTCATCCTGGCACTTTGTGTCACCGGGTGTTTATTGATCAGTGTGATATCCTAGTGGGGTAAAACATCAGTCAGTCACGGGAGTTTAGCTCATCTAGGAGAAGCAGAACTCTGATCTGAAACTGAAACCTCCACTGCCTTGTGGCAATACCCTACTAAGGGAAAGAACTGTGGGAGTAAACCATGAGGAAAAATCCGGAGCTGAAATCTCAAAGGCAGTTCAACAGTGTTTATACTGCTGCTGCTCCCACAATGTCTTCACTGCCAAGCTGTGTTATCACTTGCCCTTCCGTTGGTATTACTGGTGACATAGAGAGGGGGTACCTGCTACCTATTCAACAGCCTGTACTTCCCTTCAGTATGCTTAGGCCTGTAACCCGAAGAGGTCACTCCTTTTTAGGCCGAAGGAAGTTGTTAAGCAAACCCACTGTGTTGAGTCGTCTCCGTGTAGGATGCAATTTTTTTTTATTCTATGCGCCACCCTGGCTTCTGCCGGGGGCCTTGCTGGAGCATAGATATGGCCTAGCCATAGATATGCCCTAACCGCTGAAAGGGGTTTCTGGGACCACTCCACGGGTGATCCACATCCACATGGTGGCACTTTGTGTCAATGGGTGTTTATCGCTTGTGTCATGTCCTGGTGGGAGACAACTACCTGCCTGTCTACCCACTGTGCTTCAAGTGTTAATTCAACTCCTCTTTCACAGTATTATTATTTTTAAAACCTTTCTGAGATAGAACAAGTTATCCCGGTATGGGTTTGGGGCCCCAGCATATTGTGAAAAGTAACTAATTAGTAATTTGCGAGAATCAGATGTGTTTCGGCTGAAAGGTGCAGATTCTTAGACCTGCTGTAAACCACAACATAACTGCTTTTCAATGGGTCAATATAGAAGGAGAAAAAAACACCAAGAAAAAGAATACGTTAATAGCTCTGGAAAAGTTAATAATTCTATTTCAGAAGGAAAGAAATTGCTGTTGACTTTTTCTCAGCAATATTGTACTGTTTGTTCCTTTGTTAGAATTTGAGGTAAGGGTATTTAAATTTTTTTTTTTTACAACATACACATTAGTCGGTGTGTATGTTATTTGATGTTCACGGGTGAAACTTTGTTTCTGTAAAACACAGCTGGAGTTTCCATGGTGTAGTGGCAAGATGCTCGCCTGTGGATCAGAAGGTTGTGGGTTCAGCTCCTGACAAAGCCAGACTTTTTTCGTCGACCCAGCCTTGAGTGGGTACCAGCTGCAGTCCTGGGAAGTAAAGGAGGCCGGTTTGATGCTGACCACATCACCCATCAAGTGCTGATTGGTCTATAAAATATAGGTCTAGTACTATATGCCCGATACACCTGAAGGCATGGAAAAGGACTCTTTGCTTTCACTTTTTACTTTTATAAACACAGTCTGACAATTAAATAATGAGGTTTTGTTATGGCAAAAACAAAATGCCACTCATAAAGCAAAGTATGTCATCCAAACAGGTACCATTCGTCTTTGATTTGATAAAATTGTAATGCTAACCAGTCAGCAGATAACAGATAATTCACCATTTTTTTTAAACTAGTGAAAGTTGCATCGCTACTTATGCAGCATGGCACCAAGGGTTAACAATAATTCTGTTAAAGGCTTGGAAAAGAGCGCTTGAGACAGATGAATTGATTAAATCATTTTATGGGAATCAGTATTTATCAAATTCAATATCATATTCATCTGCGATCATCCTCACAGTCAGACATTGGTCTTGGCGTATCCATTCTCAGACTTTGGCAATTAGTTTATCATTAGAACTTAAATTGATGATCTGGCCCAGCTTAATCTTCTCACCAGTTTAGAATCGTGAATATATTACCTCATATCACCTCATGTATGAGGTAAACTACATACTAACACAACTTTCACTGGCTAAACAGAATGGTGGGCTACCTGTCATCTCCTGACCCCGGTGGCTTTACAATTTTGCCACATCATAAATGAATGGTGCTTATTTGAATGACATGCTTTGGGATGCCATGATTGCCTTGGTCATTATCAAATCAGTCTCATTATTTAATTGTCAGACTGTGTGTGTAGAATATACTTTCACCCATGAACTTCTACTTATGAATAGACAAACATTACAAATATAATGCTACTATAATTGCAGGTTGAAAAAAGAAGTTGATGATGTAGCTAAAAAGTAAGTTCATTTTGTTTTATTTACATTGTTTTTAATTTTAACAGTTGTCTCCATTCTTTAAGTAAAAGCTTTTTATGCTTTTTTATAGACATTATTTTCATGTTTTTAATTTAGTTAGGTTAGTTGCGTATCCTTTACAGGACGTTGCAGAACCAATCAAACAGCCCCTAGTTTTTCTAGGCAAATTTACGTCAAGTAGTTTGCCATTTCTTTCTGGACGGTCAGCTTTCTTGATACCACTGTCGAAACCAATGCAAGGCACATGGCCAACAGCAGGGATTGAACCCGGCATTATGAAGCGTTTGCATCGATTTAGCCACAGAGCCGACACACTAGAATATACCAGGCAATAAAATGTGCTACTACACAAAGGAGAATAAATGAACAGAAGATAATTACCTGCGAAATATGCAGTCTCCGAAAGGTGACCTACAACACAAGAAAAACAGTATCAGAAATACTACATTAGAAAGAAATTTGGAAAATTTAGTAGGTTTCTTTATTCTTCAAGTAGGAGTTTTTTAAGCATATTTGTTTTATTTGTGTGTGTGGGGGGGGGGGGGGGGGGGGGGGGGGGGGGGGGGGGGGGGGGGGGGGGGGGGGGGGGGGGGGGGGGGAGGTAGTCAGGAGACGGGAAGGGGGGGGGGGGATAAGTCTTTAAGTAAAGCACTTTGATGCCATCTTTGAGGTCAAGACAAAAGACGTTGTAGCCAACCTTTCAAGGAAACAATCAGTATAGGTTTCTTCAGGCGGCTGCTGCATCGGAGAGCTGAGTATGCGTGGGAATGCTTAGTGTGTGGTGATGTTGATTGTGGTAACATGGGAGTGAATATTAAATCATTTCATTCACTAGGTTACGGTTTAGGAAGGTTTGATAGTCAGTGGATTCTGATCTAGTCATTTAGATCTTAACAATACCATGAAGATAGTCAACTGAGTTAAGCAGCTACAGTGCAGTGAAGATGGTTAAAGAAAGTGAGTCAAAGACCACATGCTAATTTTCAATCTCATTCAAAATCGGTGAATCAGCCATGTGCTCATGTGGATTGGCACCTGAGACAACAGATCATGTCCTCCAAGACTGTCCTTAACACAACATATCAAGGCAAAACTTTTGGCCAAGAAAAACATCGGGGCAAGTCAAACTTTACAGGTCACTGAGTGAATTACAAAAGACAGTGAAGTTCATAAGAGAGACAACATTGCAGATATATATGATCTATATCAAGGGAAAGAAAGAATTACAGGAAATGATAGACATTGTGGTGTTAGAAAGTGGAAGAATGGGCCTCAGTTTGAATAATGGGAAGACAGAAGTAATGGTGGTATCAAAGAAACAAATTATTCCTAAATGTGTAATAAAAGTCAATGGTGTTATTTTAAGACAAGTACAGAAATTTAAGTATCTGGGCACATGGATAACATCAGATGGAAGATGCATAACTGAAATAAGAAACAGAATTGGACAGGCAAAAACTGCATTTTATAAAATGAAAAACATCTTGTGCAATATATCCTTGTCATTGAGAGTTAGAAAAAGAATTCTTGCTTGCTACATACATCCAGTTTTAACATATGGATGTGAATCCTGGACAATCAGTAGGCAGGCCAAACAATTTTTAGAGGCCTCAGAGATGTGGTTTTACAGAAGAATGCTTAGAATACCTTGGACAGCCAAAAAAAGCAACCAAGAGGTTTTAAAAGAGGCGGGAGACCGAAGACAACTTATCACTGACATCAGAAGGAGACAGTCATCATTTTTCGGCCATGTTATGAGAAGAGGGAAAATAGAACATGTTGTGACCACTGGAAAGATCTGTGGAAGGAGGGATAGAGGAAGACAACGAGAGAAGATGCTTGACAGTCTTGTTGCATGGCATGGAGGTGTGTCGGCACACGAACTGATACATGCTGCAGGAGATCGCGGATAATGGAGAGGCATGATCGCCCATGCCAGTCGGCAAGGCACTTGATGATGATGATGATCAAGGGAACAAAAGAAGAAGAAGAAGAAATAGAATCTCATTCATTATTTGATTATTTAGGATCACAGAGCTGCATGCTGAACATGGGCAAACCATCACTGATCTGACAGAGTCATTAGCTGTTGCCAAGCAACAGGTTACTGCACTCCAGAATCAACTAGAGACAAATGAGTAAGCTTTAACATAGTTTTTTCTGTTCCATATAAATTAACTTTTGTCTGGTAGTTCTCTCAGTGTTTGGCAGCTGTCTCATTATATGACCTACTGTTTCTTATTCAATTCACAACAGTCTTTCCATACACTATAAAAGAGTGAACTTCTGAAATGACAGTTTGACAGTTAAGAGGCTGGCTCCAGAGTTGAACTGAAATTCTTGGATAAGAAATCCCTGTTTGGGATCCAGGGCCCCATGTAAAAAGGAGGGGGAGGGGGTGTCCCCCACAAGCATGTCATAAAAGTTGACAAATTAGGGCTATTTTGTTCAAAATCAGAGTACATCTGCCTGACAGGGGAGGAACAAACTGTCTACATAACAACCAACATCTGTAAAACATATGTTCTTGAACAAGATTAAAGTCCAGAAGTAAATAAACAACCAAATCATTTTACAGCCACTAAATTTGAAAAAGAAGTAAAAGAAGCAGAAATGGGATAGGTCTCTATTCTGCTGGCATTATGTATTGCACTGAGGAGGTATTATCTGCATGTTAGTTTGGCAGGGGAAAGCCTACGTTGTAATGATTTCATTTTGTTTGAGATAGTTATTTAATGACCTAAACAAAAATACCCTAGGGTAGACTTTATCATTATGACAATACTACAAGCATTTTACATCTGAAGTGAAACTATACATTGTTGCTATTGAATGAGTTTATAGAACACCCTAGAATAAAATGCCAACACTAGCTTAGCCACTGAAGCCCCTCATCATGTAATGTTCTTAGCATTGCTCTACCACTCTGCAGATGTTAATCCCACGTACCGATCTAGCACCCTGCTGGTTCTTCAGAGAAGAGATATACAACAGTCATCATGAGTACGGTACTTCACTACTAGTTACACTACTCTCACTCTGTTGGATGCAGCCCTTTTCAAAAGCTCACTCTGAACATCAGTGTATCAGGGTCACTAGCTAGAACTGAGTCCTCCAGAGAACTCCAACCAACCAGTGGTACAGTTATAGTTAAGTTTGTTTTGTGCGCTTCACAGGACATTACAGAACCAACCCCATCATTTTTTGGTTTAATGTTTGTGGTTTCACTTGGCAATTTTATGTTCAGTAGTTCTTGATCTTCTTCTGTTTGTTTTGTCGTCTCACTGATACCAGGTTGTAACATGGTTTCCTGTATGTGTCTTGCGCTTCTCGGGTGTCTTGGGTGATGGATTTATTCATCTTTTTTGCAGGTTTCATCCACACCATTTATCCACTTCTTTCTTGGTCTTCCTCTTACTTTCCTTCCAGATGTTCTGCTGTAAAAAGTCTCATATGCATTTTGGTCTGGCTGCATTCTCATTAGATGGCTGAACTATTATTGTTCACTAGTTTACCATTGCTTTCTGAATAGTCGGTTTTTGACACTATGTTGAAACCAACACTGTGCAGTCTGTTGCCTGCAGCTGAGTTCAAAACCAACAACATGGAATTACAAAAAGTGTTCGCAATGCCTGCCAAATATCTGTTGCAGGTTTTATAATTTATGTTTCTTTTCCCCACAGGACAATCAGCCAGCATAATATCCAAGCTAAAGAGATGGAAATCAGAGATTTACAAGACAGAATAGATGAACTGGAAGCAGACCATATGAAGGCTAAGGCCCTGTGGCATGAGAAGGTATAGTCTGACAGAGATATAGGCATTTAGAGTGTGTAAATAAAAATTATAGAGTTCAATGTACAGCAGAACAAATTGTTTTTTCTGTCGCCTATAGTTTAGAGAGATTCAGTAGTGCAGTAGCTAGCACACTTGCCTACAGTCTTGGTTGTCATTTGTTAAAATCCTCATTAGGATGTTTCAACATTCACTTGGACTTTTAGGTTGCATCAGTCTAAACTGGGTAGCAGGAAATCTTATGAGAAGTAAAGGTACCTATCAGCCCACATCAGTTGTCGAGAGCTGATTGGTCAATACGGTTATGGGACAAGCAGTGTATGTCTTATGCACCTTATAGTGTGGAAAAAGTGTCTTTGACTACAGTACTAAATGGTCGCCACACATTTGTGCCTGGCCTCATTTTTGCAGAATGGCTTCATGACATGTAAAGGATCTCATATTTGTTCCTTGCTGGATACTGTCATATATTCATGGAGGGTAGTCTTGATAAGGGTAAATGTATATATACACATTTAAAAGTGATGAAACCAGGGCAGAAACATTCTGCCAGGCCTAGTTCCCCATATTAGACTGGCAGTCGAGCTCATTTAACAAAATGAATTAAACAAAACAATGATTGGGAAGCTCAATGGAGGGGGAGAGGGGAGGGGGGGGGGGGGGGGTTTTGTAAAGGATTAAGATAAAGAAAATGCTGCATATCCTAGTAGGTACTTATAAAACTAACATTTCTAACATTCTGCTAAATCCTCTATGAATTATAGGTCATCTGTAGGTGTTTAACATTTGTGTGTGTGTATATATATATATATATATATATATATATATATATATATATATATATATATATATATATATATATATATATATATATATATATATATACATACAAACACACACATAAACTAACATACTAATATCCAAATGAAAGAGGACATTCATAGATTTACTAAATGGAAAATATAACCAGTGTAAAAATACTATAAATGTGTAAGTTTCTCTCTAATTTGAATTCTGTAATCTGCCAGATATAGCATAACAGCTTCATATATATTTATCTTGTTCTTGATAAAATCTGGCAAATATAGTTCTGTGCTACACCTTTCTTGTTTAATCTGTAGAGCTCATTGGACTTGTTGTGTTTGTTTACATTCAGATGACAAATATTTATACAGCCAAGATGCCAATGTTTACAGTCAAGTGGCATTTGTTTACAGCCAAGCGGCATATGTTTACAGCCAAGTGGCATATGTTTACAGTCAATTGGTATATGTTTTCAGCCAAGTGGCATATGTTTATAGCCAAAGGGCATATGTCTACAATTTTATTGGTTATTATTATGGAGCTGGAGAGGGGAGAGGGGCTGTGTGGTCTCGAGGCATCGTGTCTGCCTCAAGTGCTAGAGGTTCCGGGTTCAATCCCCGGTAAGAGCTGGGATTTTTTCACATGGACTTAGACTTCTAGTAATTCCCCCTGGTCTCTGGGTAGTGAGATTAGATGCCTGTGTGCATTGTTACACACATAAAAAATCCCTTGGTTGTTGGAAATCTAAAAGAGTAGCCTAACGCCGCTGCCCGGGCAAAATTAGGAGTTAAAAATATACCCAAAGTATTTCAGGATTCTCGCCGGTGCAACAGAGTTTGTTTACTGTGCTGAGCTTCTTTGGACTCAGACTTGAGTTAGAAGAATGGAGCACTTATGGGTTACTACCCGTGTGCCATGATGTTGAGGCATTTTTCGAACTTCAAACTTTAAACTATTATGGAGCATCGGTGGGTATGCCCGGTGTTCTATGATGTCGTTTCTTAATCCGTAATCTGTGATCAGTAATGACCACATTTACAAAATAATGATGCCACTACCATTGCAGGAAACTGTTTTGTGAATTACTATTGCTGTAGAGTTTATTTAACTGTCTTTGAACTCTACAGTTGATTGAAGCTAAACATGACCAGGTTGCAACTGAAAGATTGGTAATTTCTTGCAAGCACTTGTTGTCATATATCTTTTAAGTGTTGTGTGTTTCTGCATCATAACTTCTGGAATTGTTACACCAAAAATGTATTTACTTTTTTAAATTTCAGGAAAAAATTTTCAACTATTTAATGATGTTGCTTGTAGCCACATACACACATGCGAACGCACATGTGCGTGTGCACATGTACGCAATTATGTGTACGCGTGCACATGTTTAATGTGACTTCCAGTTGTTATTAATGACTATAATTTATTCTGTGCCCAGCTATTCTTCTCATATTTTGTTAAATCTCAGAGTGTGATTACCCATCCATTTGTTTTAAATTGTTAGTTTCAACCTTTTTTTTTTCTTTCTATAATCTTGTTAATGTCAACCTCTTTTTCCAAAATAATTGTATAAATTTTATCACAAAGTGTTTTGTTGTTGTTGATATTTTTGATAACCATCTCTCATTACTTTAGTGTCAAATGATTAAGATAGAAAGAATATCTTTTTTATTTTTTTTAAAATATATTTTTGGCCATAATGTACAAAATGGCTATCAAATGTTTTAGTTCATTGTCTCTTACTGTTTCTTCCTTCTTGTTCATTCATTGTCATTTCACCACATTAGCCACGCACACATGCGCAGGCTCGTGTGTGTGTGCACATGCACGCAAGCACGTGTATGCATGCACATGTGCGCTTTTACATGCATGTGCATGCACGCACACCCATGCACACACACTCACACACACGCTTTCTTTGATGGTTGCTTATATTTTTAACATCATTAAGGGGAACATCCCTAAAAATTAAAATTATTATTATTGTTTCCTTCCAAGTCAGAGTATATCTGCCTGAGAGGCAAGGAACCAACAGTCTTCATACACATGAGTCAGATTGGTAAAACAGATGTGCATGCAAAACTTGGGTTCTCAAACAGAAGTTGACAAACAACCATACATTTCTACCAGAGTTTTCATCCAGTGAACACAAAGAAAGAAGAATGGATGTTCAATGTCCCGCAGCAAATGAAAGTCATGGATACTCATCTTTTCAACAGCACGCTGGTTTTACACATGTTGTAAGCTTCCTCTCATAACTCCTTTCTTGTCAGACACACTTGACTTCCAGCTGGTGCATCCTGATATAATAGATTTCATGCATCACTGCTCCCCACAGGAGTTTCCTGTCCCCATTTTGGTTGAAAGGGAAATAAGATTTCCTGCTCCTCAACAAACGTGTCATAAACGGGTGAATTTTTAAATGATTTTATGACATGAGATGTGTTGGGTCAAAAGGCACAAATATCACAGCCTAGCTGTTTACCCCAGCGCAGCATACCAACCGCCCTGTCAAAGGCAAACAAGTGAACAAAGAAGAAGAATCTAACATTGTGTCTTTTGTGTGTGTAGTAATTCATTAGTGAAATGGTTTGCCCACTTAAAGAGAATGCCTTGTGACACCATACCATACAAAGCATACATGGAAAGAGAAGAAGGACGTAGAGCACGAGGTAGACCAAGAACAAGATGGAAGGATAACATCAGAGAAACTCTACAACAGCACGATGTGCCTATGGTCGAGGCAGCCAGAAGAGCTAGAAACAGAACCTTATATCTCCCTCGACACCCACAGCGGTAAAAGAGGAAGTGAAGAAGAAGAAGAAGAAGAAGAAGTAATTCATTTATAGTCTCTAGAATGTTTATCATTATCCATTATGATTGTTATTACTTTCGCAGGCCTATTCAGAATATTATTGCATTTGTTTTTACTCATATCTTTACAATTTCTTTGTTTAGAGGGGGAAAAAAAAACTACATTCTGCTGGGTAATCAAAATTGCTCATTTAGCAATTTATTTTGACACAAATTTGCCAAATACACTTGATTAGGTTTGCAAAATTTGACTAATATATGCATTTTAGTTTTAGAGAAGTACAAATGTTGACTTTGTAAAATATAGTGTTGTATTTATTTAACCCTCTTTCTGATTGTTTGTTTTTCTACTCCTTAATGTTATGTTTTCTCTGTATTAATCCCCTCACCCCTGGAACACTAAAAAACAATAGGTCATGACCTTTTTAGAATTGAGAAAAATCCCAACTTTTTTCCCCCACACAGATCACTAAATAAATGTGTTAACAATGTATTTTTTTTTTTTAATATGTAAGGATGTATGAAGGGAATAGTCAATAAACATGAACAAGGGGAAGCATTAAATGGAAAACATTCTCTTAAAAATAGATGTATTAAGTGACTCATGTCCTGACCCCATGACCTCTATCAGTGAGACTTATGGGAACATTTGGCATCAACTTAGCTTTAAAAAAAATGTTTGGCTCAAAGGAAATACCGCTTTCCTCAAATATTATTTTAAATTAACGTATTTATATTCTGACCTTCTAAGCCTTTGTACAGGCGCAAAAAACAGCCTATTGCCTTAACTATGTGTTTTGCAAGCATGTCACTATAGACAAGTTGGAAAAGTGACATTTACAGGGAACTAGACCCCACTGGAAAAATCAGTTTTTTGGCTTCTTAGGGTGAAGGGTTTAGTCCATTACTCAGTTATAATATCATCGTCTTTTCTTTCTCTAGTTTCCGCAGTGAAAGTATATGCTACCTCTCCATATTTACTTGCAACTGTGCTTCTCATTTTGATTTCCAGTAGTTTCCCAGATATTAAAACAAAATTCTGAACCAAAATGAAGAAGTTGTCCCTTGAGTTATTTAGATGTAGTTTTATTAATTTTAGAGGGTTTTTTTTGTTTTGTTTTTTAAATTTGTGTTTACATTCTTTATCCCCTTGTATAATTTTGCTTGCAGGTTTTATGTTGCTGTCTTACAATTTGTTTGTATCTTTCTTTACAGTCTGTTAACTTTATTTGGGAATGGTTTGGTGTGGGGAGGGAGGGGGGTAAATATAATCTTCATTTTTTTAAAATGGTTAGCAGTGTCTGATGCTCAGACAGTACATAGCATCCATAATATTTCTGTTGTATGACTGTAAGGAAATAACAAACAGTAAGTAAAAATGTATGCCGTCTAGGTTTGCTTAGGTGGATAGATGCAGCCACTATAGTTTTTTATTCTTGGTGAGACCTTGATCTCTTCCATGGTGTGACTCTCATACCACTGCCTTCCTATGTAGGTTATGAGGCGGCATTGTGGAGCAACCAAGAATTGACTCACGGCCACCCCAAAAAGCATGGCTTAGGAGCTGACTTTTTGGTAGGTTTCTTTTGAGAGGCAAGGAATCAGTAGTCTGCATATGAATAAGTCAGATCTGTAAAACAGATGTGCATGCAACAGTCAGGTTCTAGAGCAAGACTAAAGTCTAGAGGTGGACGAACAACCAGACCTTTCCGCCGGAGTTTACAGCCGTTGAGCGTTAAGAAGAAGATACCACTGTCGAAAAGCTATGAGAATGATCCTTGCGTGCCACAGAAATCCAACCCTGATATGCCAAAGATTGTGAAATGAGCTAACCAAACTCTTAGCCACAGAGCCACACATTAAACAATGCCAGTATTATTAGATTGCAAAAGATTTTACAGAAATAGACATGAATTAGAAGAAGACACAGATATTATAAGAACTATTGGAACAATCCCCATCATTAAATTCATTGATAACAAAGACTGAAGTGGTTTGGTCACAGAGTGAGAATGAATTAAGCGAAGCCAGCAGTGAAAGTTACAAAATGAAAATGGAAACACCAAGAGGCCGAGGGAAACCTAGAAGAAGATGGATTGAAGAATTAAAGAAGTTACTTCTTCTTCTGCAATAAATGTTGTTTACAGCAAGAGGCTGTCCTAGGAGAAGATGGACTGATGACATTAAAGAGCTTCTGCATCAGCACGGAATGACAGTAGCCATTGCTGCCGATCAAGCAATGGATCGCAAACTGTTCCTTCCCACAACGTTTAACAGCAGAAGTGGAAACAAACCATAAAAGAAAATTAGTAACCACGGAAATGAGATGTCTGAGAAGGGCTGTAGGAGTGACCATAAGAGATAAGATCAGAAATGAGATCATAAGAGAACAAGTCGGCACAGAACCAATTCTGGATTACATACAAAGACAGCAAGTGAAATGGTTTGCCCACTTAGAGAGAATGCCTTGTGACACCATACCATACAAAGCATACATGGGAAGAGAAGAAGGACGTAGAGCATGGGGTAAACCAAGAACAAGATGGAAGGATAACATCAGAGAAACTCTACAACAGCACGATGTGCCTATGGTCGAGGTAGCCAGAAGAGCTAGAAACAGAACCTTATATCTCCCTCGACACCCACAGCGGTAAAAGAGGAAGTGAAGAAGAAGAAGAAGAAGAAGTGGAAACTGATGGTGATGATGATGATGACTTCTTCAAATTCATTGGTTGTAATCTTGAGCAGAAAGTTCTGGTTGTTCATCCATTTATGGACTTTGGTCTTGTTCGAGAACTTGAGTTTTGTGTGCACATCCAATTTACATATATGACTTATTTGTATGCAGACTGTTGGTTCCTCACCTCTCAGGCAGATGCACTATGACTTCATTGTTATCCTGTGGTGCTGAGATGTATGAAGCAGATATTGACAAAAGCTGAAGAAACATGCAAAACTGAAAATTCAAATAACCATGGAAGCTGTTTATTCCAGTTATAACCAAGAAAGGTTAAATATGATATAGCAAATAGAGATCAGTAGATAATTTTCAGAGAATAAATACTCCTATTTTTAACAAGAAGTTCTATTACTATTCTTCTTCTTCTGCCTTTCTTTCCCAAATGGAGCATAGGCCCTCAACCAACTCACACCAAGTCATTATATCCTTATCTATTACAAGGAGCTCTCCCTATGTCCTCCCCATCTTTCTAACTTCATTCTCCAGCTCTCTTCTCCATGTGGTTTTTGGCCTTCCTTTATTCCTATGCCTCTGTGGGTTCCAATGCAAAGACATTCTAGGTATATTGTTCTCGGTTTTTTTTTAATGAGTGTCCTATTCAACGCCAGCATCTTTTCCTCACCTCTTGGTCCACTGGAGCATGCTTAGTTCTCTCCTAAAGCTCTACATTAGTTATTCAATCACACCATTTAATTCCCTCTATTTTGCGCAGGCACCAGTTAATGAATGTCTGTAATTTATTAGTAGTTGCCTTAGTTGCTCTCCCTGTTTCCGCCTCATTCAAAAGTGCTGATTTGACATTAGAATGTAAACAATTTTAAGTTTAGTATTTCGTTTAATTTTTTTTTTTGACCTCCACAAATTCCCAAGTGCTATGAAAGCTCCTCTTGCGTTTTGTATTCTTTTTACTATATGTCTTGATAAAGACTCGGCTTATTAACTTTATGTCTTCAGTTTTATATAATTATTTCTACTGTGAGTTCCAAAGGCTCATAATGTGGAGAGAGAAAAAAGAATAGACTAACTGCTTCCCTAACAAGCATGTCATAAAAGGCAACTAATTAGGTGTTTGCAAAAGTAGAATGTGTTGGACCAAAATGTGCAGATATCACAGTCTAGCTGTAAATACTAATAGAATGAGCCAACTGCTCTTTTAAGGACAAATCTTCTCTTCTTCTTCTTTGCGTTCGGTTTCGTATGCTCAGATCAGACCATCAGGTGGGTTGCCTCTTTGAACTCGCATGTCAGCTGCAGGTCCTGCAGGGTTCCCCATAGCTTGCTCCGCACACTTTGCTCTTGAGGCCAGGTATCTTTTCCAATTAAGGACGAATGTAGAAGGAGAAGAAAAAGTGACTGTATTTAATTGTAAATATCATGTGCATTAGGATCCTTCCTGTAAAAGTTTAGTGCTGATGTTTTGTATTTCTCATGCACATTTTGAACATTTAACTGCCTGCTTCTGAAGACCACTGTGTAATTAATTTGTTTTTGTTTTCAAGCGTCAGGCCCTGGAGTTGAGCTTAGATCAGGTACAGAGAGAGCTCATTGAAACTAAAGCAGAAAAAAATGAGTTAATGAGATCAGAAGCTGCTCTTAACTCCCAGATTGAAGACTTTCAGGTGAATTGCTTGTTTTCTGGTAGTTTTATGATCAGTTTCTAGAAAAATACTTCTTCTACTTTTGCCTTTAAAACTGCATTTGGCACATTGTGTTGTGGTTTAGAGTGCTACTGCGATATCTGCAGCTTAAACTCTTTGAGTACCAGCCAACTCGCCATGCAGTTATTGTTTACTCTGTGCATATTAACTCTTCACCATTCTGTTCTGTCCCAAGCATCTGTTATGTTATTTGATTTTAACCAGATGTTACTTGACATCTTCTGTCTCATCTGTGCATTATTGTAACCTCTTAAAGCCCAAAATTGATACTACGAAATAATACGACTTTGTGGTAGAATGTGCTGAAGCAGCCACTGGCTGGGACTAAAAGAGACTAAGAAAAAACAGCCGATAAAAAAAACCCACACCTAATAAGTCATCTTTTATGGTGTGCTTGTTAAGGGATGGCAAGTCTATTTTCAAAAACCGAGTTCTCAGAATCCACATGGTGATACAACAATTATCATACCAAAATGTATAGAAGCCATAGTGGGAAAGCCAAACAGTAGCTAGCACGCTTACCTTCTGGCTTGGTAGTCATATTTTGACATCAACATTCAAGGTCATTTCTAAAAATTACCTAGGCTCCCAGCTCAGCCATGTCTAAAAATAGATATAGTGGAACCTCACAATACGATTATACCTGGATATTAGTTTTTGAGAATATGAGGTCAAGTTTTGCATAACCCATTTACTGATTATGAAACCTTCATTCAAACTCTTTAACAAAAAAAAAATTAAATTTAAATTTAAAAAAAATTATAATTTCAGTCCCTGGCAAGCAGATATGAAAATGACCTTGAAACTGAACGCGACCGCATACAACAACAGCGCAAACGAGAGGAGGATCTGAGGTCACAGGTGATGGCTTTGGAAATGGAGGTGGGCAATAAAGACAGCAACATTGAGAGGCTGGAAAAGATGCTGGAGGTTGTCAAGCAGGAGTGCAGTGCAACAGTGTCTGACAGGGTATGTGTTTGTATCAGATATAGTGAGTTATAATAACAACTTCTTTGGATAAGTGAGGTAAAATAAGAAGAGCCCTGGATAGAATTATGTAAAGTAGCAAATGCATTGGGCTGAATGAAAGTAACAAGAGCCCTGGGTAGAAATAATTAAAGTTGCAAAGGCATTGGATAGAATGAGTTTAAGTAACAAGAGCCCTGGGTAGAATTAATTAAAGTAGCAAATGCATTTGATAGAATGAGTTAAAGTAACAAGAGCCCTGGGTAGAATTAATTAAAGTAGCAAATGCATTGTATAGAATGAGTTAAAGTAACAAGAGCCCAAGTAGAATTAATGAAAGTAGCAAATGTGTTTGACAGAATTTAAAGTAGCAGGTGCATTGGATATAACTAAAGTATCAAATTCGCTAAATTTTAACTGCAGTGGTATAGAATATGTTAAAGTAACAATTGCACTGTATTAGTAATTAGTATATATAGGACAATTAATTAAAGTATCAAGTGCTCTGGATAGAATTAATTAAAGTAACAAATGGATTCCGATAAAATGGGTTTAAAAAACCCCATTATAACTGGATATAATTACTTAAAGTAGCAACTGCAGTGGACATACTTATTTGAAACAACAACAGCAGTGGGGAATAGAATGGGTAAAAGAAACATTTGCACTGGATAGTGTGAGTTAAAGTAACAACTGCAATAGATAGAATGAATTAGTAACAGTTGCATTTGGTAGAATAATTTTAGTAACTATATTGGATAGAACAAGTTAAAAGTAATGCTGCAGTGAATGGAAAAAGTTAAAAGGTGCTTTTTTTATCTCTCAAGCAGGTTGCCAGTGCTGAAAAGTTTGAAAGAGATCGTTACCTCGACCAACTCAACAGCTTGTCTTCCCAGCTGTCCACCATGACGGAGAGTTGTAACAAACTAACCACTGAGAAGCAGATGGCTCAGAGTGAGACTGCGGATCTTAGGTCACAAGTTGAAGAGCTACGACTCAAGCTGGAGAAGACCAGGTTATATTTTGTGTCTAGTAAAATGGGATAACTGAGTCTCTGGAAATGTGGGTATACAGAAGAATAAGTCATATTTTGTGTCTAGTGAAATGGAATAACTGAGTCTCTGGAAATGTGGGTATACAGAAGAATAAGTCATATTTTGTGTCTAGTGAAATGGAATAACTGAGTCTCTGGAAATGTGGGTATACAGAAGAATAAGTCATATTTTGTGTCTAGTGAAATGGAATAACTGAGTCTCTGGAAATGTGGGTATACAGAAGAATAAGTCATATTTTGTGTCTAGTGAAATGGAATAACTGAGTCTCTGGAAATGTGGGTATACAGAAGAATAAGTCATATTTTGTGTCTAGTGAAATGGAATAACTGAGTCTCTGGAAATGTGGGTATACAGAAGAATAAGTCATATTTTGTGTCTAGTGAAATGGAATAACTGAGTCTCTGGAAATGTGGGTATACAGAAGAATAAGTCATATTTTGTGTCTAGTGAAATGGAATAACTGAGTCTCTGGAAATGTGGGTATACAGAAGAATAAGTCATATTTTGTGTCTAGTGAAATGGAATAACTGAGTCTCTGGAAATGTGGGTATACAGAAGAATAAGTCATATTTTGTGTCTAGTGAAATGGAATAACTGAGTCTCTGGAAATGTGGGTATACAGAAGAATAAGTCATATTTTGTGTCTAGTGAAATGGAATAACTGAGTCTCTGGAAATGTGGGTATACAGAAGAATAAGTCATATTTTGTGTCTAGTGAAATGGAATAACTGAGTCTCTGGAAATGTGGGTATACAGAAGAATAAGTCATATTTTGTGTCTAGTAAAATGGAATAACTGAGTCTCTGGAAATGTGGGTATACAGAAGAATAAGTCATATTTTGTGTCTAGTAAAATGGAATAACTGAGTCTCTGGAAATGTGGGTATACAGAAGAATAAGTCATATTTTGTGTCTAGTAAAATGGAATAACTGAGTCTCTGGAAATGTGGGTATACAGAAGAATAAGTCATATTTTGTGAAAACAAAAACAGTCTAATGCAGAGGTTCTGCAAATGAGAACAGAGTTGCTGAAAAAGCAATTGCTGGGTAGTAATTGATTAGCACATGATGTTCTTGGGACTCAAAGAGTTAAGTTTGAGTGCATGAAGTTTATGTTTAATTTACTTTACACATGTTAATCAAAAGAGTTAAGTAAAAATGCTTAAAGTTTCTATTTATTTGCTTTTTCAGATTTTAATCAAAAGAGTTGAGTATGAATACATGAAGTTTATGTTTAATTTTCTTTTATACACTTTAATCAAAAGTGCAAAAGAGTTAAGTATGAATGCTTGATGTTGGTGAATCATTTTTTTAAAACACATTTTAATCAAAAGAGTCATGTCAGAATGCTTGAAGTTTCCATAAAATATGCATTTACATAATTAATCAAAAGAGTTAAAACTGAATGCATGAAGTTTCTATAAATTCTTTTACACATTTTAATAAAAAAAAAGTTCAAAATAATTAATTCAAATATGAATGCTTGATGTCTATGTATTATTTGTTTTTACATATTTTAAAATGAAGTGAGTTAAATATAAAAGCTTGAAGTTTCTGTATAATTTACTTTTACACATTTTAATAAAACAAACACAGGTCCCAGTTGGAGTCAGTTTCAGCAGAAAGGTTGAATCTAAATTCTTTGTTGGAAGAAAAACAAGAAAACTTGGATAGACAGCAGAAGGAGAAAGATTGTTACCTCAAGATGGTAGAACAGCAAGCTGATGAGGTAACTGAGCTAAAAGAAGCTGTGGATAGGCTGAAGGCACAGTTGGATGAAAAGGAGAAATTTTTCAGCACTTTGAGCCAGCAGTCAAGTAATATCAATCATCTTATGGAGGTCAGTTGTGATTACGTGCAATAATTTTACAATGTTCATAATGACTATATCTTAACATTTTTATATATAAAATTATGTTTTCAGATTAAATTTAGTCCACCTTTTTCATATTTTTAACAAACTTCTGTTTTCAATTTTAAATCATATCTTTTTCTAAGATGTATGTTTGTCATTTATCATTAATTCACATGTCTTATAGCAACGCAAAGTTATATTCTGGACAGTGTTTTCTTGAATTAAATTCTTTTGTCTTATGAATTATGTTAGATTGTTTTAGCTTTAAATGAAATATATACTATGTTTGTTTGTTTTAGTATCCAGAAGCCATGAGTTGTTAACCCTAAGGCTCGGTATTATGGATATCGCAACCTTTCGGCCTTGATTCCATTGTAAATACCGTAAATCTGGGAGAAAATGTGGCTTTCCTGCCTACCCCCGGGATTGAACCCGGACCACAAGGAGTACGTCACCCGGTTTCCGCGAAATCCGGTTTAGCCAATTCCGCTAGAGAGCCGGGCAAATATATACTAAAATTATGTGATACTACCCATTAAAATTTTACAAATTGCTAATTAAAAGAGTCAGTTTAGTATATATCATTTACTGTAATTCGGTTAGGATATGGTTAGGATATATGTTTTGAAAGCAATAGTTTTTTAAATAGCTTAAACTAGGAACATTGTTTAAAGTTTACAGCTTGCCAAGCATTTACTTTGTAACATTTATTTAAAGTATACAGTCTTTTAGGTTACTTGTTATTTTTATTTATGAAAGAAATGTGTAGCTCAGTTACAGTTTGCTGAAGTAATTTTACATTTTAAGTAATTTTAAATCATACTGCTTGTGACTTTCAAAATCTAGGCGATGTGATTTAAATTTATAGTCACAATAACTTTTTCTACTTTACATCTAGAATTAGTTAGTCTTTGTTGTGGTGATGGTACAGTTTAATGTTATAATTGATTGTTTGTTGTATAGCCTTTGTTGTTAGTGTTGTAAAGATTATTTATAAAACTATCTTATGTAAGTTCTTCTTGCATGCCATCTTAGGTAAATGCCAGGGCTAATGAAAACATAAAGGAAGAACGAGAGAAGCTGGCATTGGCTTTGAAAGATAAAGATTCACAGGTGGAGATGTTAAAAGTATCCCAGAACATGTTGCATAAGAAGTTGAAAACTAGAGACAGAAGAATGAAGGATCTTGAAGATGAGAGGTTGAAGATAACAGAGGAGCTTGCCACAAAGGTATTAGTATTTTTTAAAAAGCGTTTCATTGTTTTCTTGCAGTATGGCAGATTTTCCAGATAAAAGTGTTGTAGGAAACTGTCATTCAATGCAGAACTCTAGACATATCTATGTGTGCGCTGAATCTCTTGGAGGATGTTGAACAGTATGACACTTATAGTAAAGGTAAAGTCAAGAGGATCAACTTCACTGCACCATGTTTTATCCCATGTGGCTCCGTTTGTCTCCACACAAGGGCTAACCTCCTCTAAGAGCATCACACGAAGCACCAACACTCAGCTCAGCTGATGATCCTCAGGGTGTCTCTATAAAAATTACACTTGTGAACTGAACAATGTGGCCATGAAATGAACCCAGGACTTTCAGAGCAGGAGGTAAACTGCTTGACCACTTTGCCACAGAGATGCCTAAATACTTAAAGTTCCAGTTGCCAGTTGGTTGTGTGCACCTGTACTTTATCCTCTAACATATTCACGTCTGCTAGTGCCAAATTGATTTCTGATTCATTGAGTGGTAACTGCAGTTAGTTATTGATTTGCATTTCCTCATAATTTATAAACAGTGTCAGATCTCCATTGTTCAGCCCCAGAGGTAACCTTGGAGGCCAGTCAATCAGCCCTTTTATTTCCTCATACACTGGCATAGCCTGATCAGCCAGTTTAGCTCATGTAGGTGTGGTGTCTGTGTATCAGTCATTCATGCCAGAACTATCCAGACTGAACTTTCCAAATCTTATGATAAAGTAAAGGGCCCCCTTTTCACGCCTTCAGGTGTATTGAAACCATACCCATCGTTAAATTTATTGAGAAGCAAAGAATGAAATGGTTTGGTCCCCTAATGAGAATGGAACCAACGATGCCAGCATCAAGAGAATACAACATGAAAATCGAAACACCAAGAGACAGGGGAAGACCAAGAAGAAGATGGATTGAAGGAGTCACGGACAACTTGAGACTTCATAACATCATGGCATATGAAGCGACTGAGCGCGCCCTGGCTCGGTTGCCGATCATCTGATAGACTGCGACGCCTAGCGGCACAAGCAGATTTTGACAAAAAAAGAAGACGGTGTATTGAGCATATAGGGCTAGATCTATATGTTACAGACCAGTTGGCACTCAGTGGTTGATGTGGTCAACACGCTGGTCACCTTAATTTTCCAGAACTGTACCCGTTACCCATTTAAGGCTGGGTCAACCTAAGAGCCAAGGTCATTTCTGAAAACAATCTGGCTCTGCCAGGACCTGAACCTATGACTTTAGGATCTGCAGGCGAGCATCTAGCTGCTACACCACCATGGCTGCTCAGTCCTTTTGATGACGGCCTTATTTTTATTGAAGCCTCAGAAAGCCATCTTAGAGCTGACTGCCCCTGCTTCCTTTCTCATGCTGAATGTTAAATTGGAATATGCTCCACTCTGCTCTGGAATACCCCTCCATCAAGCCTTATCCTGACCTCTTACATCTTTGCACTGTTGCATCAGTATATACTATTTTACCATACAATTTTATCAATACATATAATTGTGATAAATATAAGAATGCATGTATTCATGATCATTTAGTATTACATGAGTAAAGTGTTGTAAAAATTGTTAGGAAGTAAAGTGACGGACCTTTTTCCACACCTTCAGGCATATTGGGCATATAGGGCTAGAAGTATATTTTAAGGACCAATCGGCACTTGGTGGGTGATGTGGTCAGAAATGTTCACCTGCTCTGGAGCTCACTCACACTCTCTGGCCATGTTATGGTGATGGTTGTATATGGCACAACCTGATGATGCCAGGTACATTCAAAGGTGTTAGCTGATGGATAGTTGGTTGGTGGATGTTGGTAGGACTGTGATTAATCTGCCAGCTCTTTACAGAGGTTTCATCCCAAGCATAGGAAATGTCCTAGAGTCTACAGGCCGCCTTCTCAAAGTAAGAATGTTAGGCGTCGATGAATACATCTAGTCTCAAGGAATGCCGGCAGAAGAATGCCCGCACAAAATCAAGCTCGGCGTCGGTAAGAAGAAGTTCCTTGTATAAATGAGCGAGGAGTAAACCGGTTTCCAGGAATAGTCAATTAAAATCCTAGAAATAGTTAACCTACAGTTGCAAATTTGAAAATGACGATAAGTCAAGGCAACTAGAAGGTGTAGACATCATTATTTTCTCCGATAAAGGTATAGATCAATATAAGGGACTATATACCTTTCCGGACGAGTCCAAATTTGAAAGGTTTTGCCGAGCGGGTAATACAAGTCCTGACTCGTCTAAAATTATGTGTAGTGGCGTGTCATTCCTTGACAGTTAACTATCTATTTAAGGGCAGACACAAAAGAAGAAGTAGAAGAAGAAGAAAAAGAAGAAGAAGAAGAGGAAGAAGAAGAAGAAGAAGAAGAAGTAGAAGAAGAAGAAAAAGAAGAAGAAGAAAAAGAAGAAGAAGAAGAGGAAAAAGAAGAGGAAAAAGAAGAAAAGGAAAAAGAAGAAAAAGAAGAAGAAGAAGAAGAAGAAATCCAAGACAAGCATCTAATCCTTGCACTGCCACAGCTCCCATTGCATTTAATTGTGGCTATCAACACCCGTACATGCGTTTATTGTTTGTATGTTTCAGAACCAAGAACTAGAGCTTTTGCAGCAAGAAAAAGAGAACATCTTCAAAGAGCTCAAGGAAAGTAGAATAGAAGTTGCTAACTGGATGTCTAGGAGAGATCTTCTTAAAAAGGAAGTAGTGAGAGGAAGAGCTCTTCATGCCAAAGAGATAAATAAATTGCAAACAAAACTAAAAGGTTAGTTGTTAATGCATTCCATAATTAAGAGGAATAATTGAGCGACAAACCTAGAATGGGGAACCAGGATATGTCCTGGAAAGTAAAGGTGGCTGGCATAATACTGACTGCATAATTTGTTGAATGTCATTTGGTGAAGAGATGAGGACTTTTCCCTTTTTAAATGGGTATTGACTGGGGCTGATATAAAAAAAAAAAAAAGTAATAAGAAATAAGAAAATCCACACACCATGGGGAGTTCTAGGGCCCCATTTCTCAGGGGAGCGGCATCCGTGGCTTATGCGTTGCGAGTCCGACTCGTAATTCCAACATACTGAGATCGAAACCCACTGCTGGCTGCGGGGATTTTTATCATGGTATGGGGCGTTGCAGGTTGACCCAGCCTAAAATGGGTACCAGGATGTATGTCTTGGGGAAGTAAAGACGGCCGGCGTAATGCTGACCACATTATCCCCCTAGTACCGATTGGTCTGTAAAAATATGGGTGCTCTTCCCATATGCCCGATGTGCCTAAGGTATGAAAAGGGATCTTTACTTTTATTTCTCAGGGGAGGGGGAATAGACCTACTGCTGTCTAACATCATCATCATCAAGTGCCTTGCCAACTGGCATGGGCGTTTATGCCTCTCCACAGTCTATGATCTTCAACAGCATGTATCAGTTTGTGTGCCATGACAAAAGGCTGTAAAGAATCTTCTCACTTTGTCTTCCTTTGTCTCATTTTCCCATGATCTTTTCATTGGTCAAATGTTCCAGTTTTCTTCTTTTCATAATGTGACCAAAAAAATGTCTGTCATAACAATGACCCTTAACAAACATGTTGCATAAGCTGACTAATTAGGACTTGCTGAAATTTGATGTGTTGGACTGAAAGGGGACAATATCACAGCTGAGCTGTTAACTACAACACACGCCAGCTGCCCTTTTAAAAGTGAATGAAGAAAAGAAGGAGAAGGTTAAAACACAGTAAATAGTAGAGAGACATCACCATGAGTCTCAAAGAGAAGAACTAGGACTTCACTTTTTTAATGGCTGTTAATTGGGGTTTATATGACAGAATATAGTATTAAAAATAAGAAAGCACACTAGACCAGTGATTTCCAGACTGTGTCCTGTGGCGCCCTGGTGAGCCACGACCTCTTCTGGGCCATGAAATATTCAAAGTTACATGAGTTTTTTTTTTTAATCTCTTACATACAAATAGTCATACTTTTACTTAGCTTAGGGCGCCGTGGAAACATTTAAATTGAAAAAAGGCGCAGCGATTAAGAAAAGTTTAGGAAACACTGTACTAGACAATATAAACTATTTTCTTAATCCAAATAAGGCCACCAGGAATGAGAGTGTTAACATGCTTGTTCAGTTTGTTGAATGTTGGGACCGAGTGAACAGTGTGAGGAGAATGGCCCTGCAGGGGAGTTAACTGGGGGATCTGGCCGACGCTCAACACTCAGGGGAAAGGCGAGACAGATATACAATCAGTTACTGGTACTTTTGGAATTGTAACTTTCCATGTGTTGCTGAAGATGGGGACGGGGCGCTAATGGGAGTGTCTCAAGTTCTATGATGTCGATTCTTCATTCAACATATTTGCTTGTTCAGATAGATCTACTTACTCTTATGGCTTATGGTTTAAACAACGGATCAACATCAGTAGTAACCCATGAGTGCTCTGTTCTTCTTTTAACTCAAGCCTGAGTCTGAAGATTCTCAGCGCAGTGTATGAACCCCGTAGCACCTGCAAGGATCCTTAAATGCCTTGGGTAGATTTTGAACTCTAAATTTTGCCTGGGCAGCGTCGTTAGGCTACTCTTTTCAATTTCCAACTGCCAAGAGATTTTTTAAACGTGCGCAACAGTTCGCACAGGCATCTGATCTTACTACCCAGAGACCTGGGGAAATTACTAGAAGTCCACGTAAAAAAATCCTAGTCTTCACAGGGGCTGAAACCCGGGACCTCCAGCACTCGTGGTGGATGCCAAGCCTTGAGACCACTCAGCCCCCTACTAACTCTATAGGTACCAAGGAACTAATCAGGCAGTAATGTGTAAATAATGTAACTTCATTTAGTATGAAGGTGTCAAAACACATTCAGATTTTTAAAAAATGTGTCATCATTTACAATATCCTTTAACCCGTGTTTGACCATCAGATATAAATATTAGCCAGAAGAAGCTGTGAACGGCTGAAGCTTTAACAAAATTTTGTTTAGATGAAAACTATGTTGGATTTTTAACTTATTCTGAAAGAAAAAAACTAGACAAGAGAGACTTAAGATTATAGAGTAAGATATACGAGAAATGCTTTAAAAGCTGGCTAACAAATGATAATATAAGCAAACCAGCTGCATGAAAGTAATAAATAACAAGAGGATTGGGGAGTCGACACTGACGTCAGCTCCAGGCCAAACACAAGAAGAATATGTCATCTAGAGATGTTTGTTTAGTAAATATATCTTCTTCTTCTTTTTAAAGTCTATGCCGTGTGGCTTTGGCAGTCACGCCTATCCACAACTTTCTGTCTCCTGTACTTTTAGTCAACTCTGATACAGATGATCTTCCATGCCATGATGTCACACTGTCCAGCATTTTTTCTCTCAGTCTCCCTCTACCTCTCCTACCCTCCAACTATCCTACCATCATGATGTACTCCAGTTTTCTCCTTCTCATCACACAAGCTAATGGATAATTTTAAAAACTGTCAAATGTATGTCCATTGTTCTCAACAGAATATGAGCAAGGCTACAGACTGTCGCAGAGAGCATTAAGAAGTAAAGACATGACAGATCACAGAGGTAATTTATGTTGAAACTAAGAAATTTTAACTTAACATTTGAAGAGCTCCATAAACTGTCTGCATCAGAACAGGACAGTCTATTTTCTTTGTGCTTCTTCTTCTTCCTTTCTAGTCCTGTACTACCTTTCAGCATCAGGTTTTGAAGAGGCATCAGGCGTGAGCCTTGGTATGTACTATGTAGATGCTGGTATTTACCATTTCAGGTATTCCATCTATCCATCGCTTGCCTGGTCAACCTCTATGTCTGCTTCTATTATGTATTTGACAGGGCTCTCTGTGGTGAACTGTCTGGCCAACCCTACCTTCAAGGGGTTCACACCGTAAAAGGAGGCTACAAGGTCCCAGGCTTACAGGGCTCTGGCTCGCCAGGTGGGATGGCATCCAGCTGGTTAAAGTATGACAGGCCTAGCAAGCCAGCAGTGGATTAAATCTTTGCTTGATGAAACAGTAAGAAAAAAAAAAACTGGACCGATTATTTGAGCATGAAGGGGAAAACCGGAGTACGTTATTACAGCAGAGAGTTGGGGAGGATAGAGAAGCTGAGATAGTGATGTTTCCTCCAGCACCACAGTGGCTGGAAGAAAACAAATTCACTACTGGAGATTTAATCTGGACCACTGTTTCAGAAGACAGTTTATATAATGTGAGTCAACATCACAACACTCAGGATACTCCCATAAGCACTTATGTCTCCTCTTCAGCAGCCAGCACAGAGTTCTAATTCTGATGGTATCAGTAGTAGTCTGAGAGTATGCTGTCTTGCTTTTCCTCTGAGTGTTGAGTGTTGGCCAGATCCCTTGGTCTTCCTGCTGCACCTTTCTCTTCCGACTGTTTTGATCTGTTTGTGCTTCTGCACTGTTTACTTGGATATTGACCACATGTTGCTTGTCATACATCAGTTTACCATCAAGTGGTGTGGAACCGGCCAATCTGTCTGCATGTTCTTTACCAACACACCTAAATGCCCTGGAGACCACATCCAAAAAATTCCAACTACCTGGGATCTCTGAACTGATGCTTACCACTGTGAAGAATCTACCTACTGCGGTCAAGGCAAATGGCTCATTGGCAGATCCGTGACAGAAAAGGTCTTCCCTTAGACACAACTAACCAACACCATCAGAGCATACTCAATAGTCTTTGTTACAATTTACAATAAGCAGAAGGCAGTTTACCTGGGTGAAGTTGGCTCCCGTTACGTACCTGCCCCTTACAGTACCATACCAGCCGTATGGCTGTGACCAGGGTCCAAACCAAGAGACTTCCTCACAAGATCTTTCCATCGCTACTGTATGTTACACTGCAACTGCGGTGTTACTGAACGGCTCTGGCTAGTGTGAGCGGACAGACCATGTCACCTCACCAGACATACCCTTCGCAAACTACCTCGTAACATCTAGCTAAATACCTGAATGAATACTAGTATAATGACTCACAATAATCTATCTCTCACTAACACATGAATTATCCTACCGTCAGACTAACACATATCACAAAACGTGTGTCGCTAACTTAAGAAAAAGATGGAAACATCTGCTGGTCAGAACAACACCGTCTTGTCCCAAGTCTCACTGATGAACTTCCCAAAAACCCATTTTCTGTTGTTTTTGCTGAGTCTCCCAACTCACTACCCAGTCAGTGAACCCTGAAGTGATTCATTCACTCATCACACTTCTGTGGTCGAGATCTCAGTGTGTTTTTGAACACCCATTCATGACACGGTCAACTAATTATTATGTCCACTATTCACCATCATCATACACTGTTATCTCATAGCCACAAAGGACCCTGACAGCCACTCTGCACAAAGCATACCCGTCTTCAATTTTCCCAGCATCCTTTGTGAGTAGTGTATATAATACCGATTTTAGTTGCAGGTAGTTCATTGGATAGTTGGTTGATTGGTTCACTGTTTGCATGTTTAGTTAGTTGATTTGAAAAGTGTCTTTTACTTTTTATGTGTCTAAACTTTAAAACACTTTAAAAAATTTTTTTTTTTTTTAAATTATCAAGTTTTAAATTTAAAATATTTCAGCTGTAAAATTTGCAGACAAGATTCAGAAAGAGATGACTGTGAAGAGAAGTGAAGTTGATCAGCTGCTGTCAAAACTACATAATTTGGAGGATAATTTAGAAGCTGTTACCAAGGTAATAATTGCTGTTACTGAGGGTTTGGTTTCCAGATGTGTTCACTGCCAAGGAAGTGCAACACCACTCAGTCAAATAAGATATGTATTATGATTACATTTTTTTCTTCTTACCCCTGCTTACCAATCTCCCATTTGAGTGAAGGCCTTCAAACAGTTCACACCAGGTAATCCTATCCTTTACAGCTCACCATGTTCCCTCACCATCTTATGTACTCCAGTCTGTAATTTTCTTCTTGTGTATTCTTTGGCTCTTCCTGTATTTCTTTGGCGTATAGATTCCAACCACCCAGTAAGGGTAAACACATTTGTTGTGAGATAGAAAGAAGATTTCAAAACATGTAAAAGATCATTAGATAATATGGCTCCCATCATGGCCTAGAAGGACACTTAGTCTCTTACCAATACCCCTGCTTCATGTAATTTTCATGCCGAAGGTCTTTCCAATGTCCTGCATCCCCTGAGAAATCTTTGCTTTTCCCCCCCAAGAACTGTGCCTTCCAATGTTTTTTTTTTTTACCACTAAGGCATTAGCCAACCTAACCATCCGAGATCGAGTGAAACATGAAACTATCAGGCAAATTGTGGGAACAACACCTTGTACTAGATTCATCGAGAAACAGCAGATCAAGTGGTTTGGCCATCTTGTTAGAATGCAGCAAGATCAAATACCATCACAAGCACTACATCTCAGAAGATCAACTACAAGAGCAAGAGGACGGCCGCGGAAAACATGGATCGACAACATTAAAGACACTCTACGCCTTCACGGCATGACAATAGCCAGTGGCAGCCAACGTGCACTGGATCGCAAATTATTCCTCCCCACGATGCTTAACGGCAGAAGTGGTTCATGATGATGATGATGACTAAGGCAGACAACAGAGTGTGGCTGCTGTGGAAGCAGAAGTTCAAGCCTTGATTTTCAAAAACGCTCTAGAGGGTGATGATGTCATTTACACAGATGGGTCTGTAATCCGCCATGTTAGAAGCTCATGGGCTTTCATGGCTCAGGTTGGAGGTAGAGTTGTGAAGAAAGATTCTGGAGTTTTTTGCTGTAACTAGAAGTAGTCTGACTTGTTTAGGTCATGGCTGTGACTAAAGCAGTAACATGGCTAGAGACACAGACTTTCACTGAGGCATGCTTTCTCAGTGACTCGATGAGTATGATCAGGAAGATAGAAAAGGAGTGGGTCCGTAGGCAGTGGTTGGTGGCTCTACAGAATTCACGGCTGACAAGGATTAGTTTCATTTTCGTGCCATGACATTTGGGGTAAGGCTACTGTGAAACCCGGACAAGCCATGGACCAGGCTGATATACTGAATGCTCTAAGAGAGTTAAGACGTTTGTGTCAACGAAATGAGAACTGTGAATGTGCAACCATGGTCAGACTGCAAGAAAAACATGTAAACGGGATGTCGCCAAACAAGAACACTACGTGAGTAGCCAAAGAAGAATAATAAATCAAAACAGAACTGGTGTCGTTAGCCGCTGCATGCTGCGGGATTTACTGAGGAGGGGATCCGAGCACTTATGGACTGAGTGGTTTGACGTGCAATGAGGATAATCTGTTGACTAACTAACTAGTGGGTCTCTGTGTCCAAGTGGTCAAACCGTTTGCCTCTCGCTGTAAAGGTTGTGGGTTTGTTTCACTACAACACCATTTAGTTAATGAGTGCAATTTTTACAGAGATCCTTGGGGATCGTCGCCGTAGCTACAGAGGTCATGCTCTGTGCAATGTTCTCAGCAGGCTGCTAGCTGTTTTGCAGAGAGAGACTGAGCCATTTGGGATAAAACCCGGTGCAATGACCTCGATCTTCTCACCTTTACCTATTTCTATTTCTGAGTCATGATACTGTTCATAAACATATTTTCTTTGATGTTCAGATCTTCTGGAATGTCAGTATTTTCTTTTTTATCCCTGATGTTCTAAGACTTTTTCTTTAGCATTTAAGTTAATCAAAGCTTTGCGGATTGTGAAATGGTCCATATATATTACCCCAGGAAAATTGCATGCATTCTAAATTTTTACTTTAATTTGTTTGCTGATTTTGTGCTATGTAGACTTTTCAAGTTGTTTAAAAAGTGTATGTGTGTGTTTTTAAAATAAATATTGACACATCAAGATGTTTTGTTTCTTGTTAATTAGGAGAAACTGCTGCTAGACAAGGACAAAGACAGCCTGAAGAGGAGTCTGGCTAAAACATTGTTGAGAACGCAAGAACTGTCAGACGAGCTGGAGAGATCTGAATCTAGGAAGCAAGAACTGGCTTTACAGGTTGCTAGACTGAAAGAACAGCTGGAGCAGGTACAAACAGATTTTGTTTATAAACTATTCATGATTTCTTTCTTTCTTTCTTTCTTTCTTTCTTTCTTTCTTTCTTTCTTTCTTTCTTTCTTTCTTTCTTTCTTTCTTTCTTTCTTTCTTTCTTTCTTTCTTTCTTTCTTTCTTTCTTTCTTTCTTTCTTTGGTGCAGATAGATTTTATGTTTTAGCCTGTTCATTTCTTTCTTTCTTTCTTCTTTGACATCTACTTGTTGTTCATGATATTCTTTTGCCTCTGGGTCGTTCATAGCCTTTAGGCATACATGCTTTCTCATCAACAAATTTTTAAAAAATTTGCCATCGGATAACAATGTATTGCTTTTCCCCCTTCTTTTTTAATAGGTAACGGCCATCAAATAACTATGTATTTCTTTCTTTCTTAAAGGAAGAAAAAAGGAACACGATCGGAAAGTATAAATAGGATATTACAATATATATAATCATCACCCTTTAGTATATATACAGTGTAGCAGGAAAATAAAGTTTAAAATTTGAATTTGTTGAAACCTGGAACAGATTAATTTGGTACCCATTTTTTCAATGGAAAAAAATTGCATTGAAACACAAATGATTTGGAATTTAATCACCATCATGGAACGATTAATTTCAAATTCTGAGATACCACTTTAAGCTCTCTTCTGTAAATATGCTTCCTAGGTATTTGAATTCCTGTAATTGTTTGAATAGTCCTTTCACTTATTCCTATTTTATATATATATATATATATATATATATATATATATATATATATATATATATATATATATATATATATATATATATATATATATATATAAGCAGCCATAACTAATTCACTGTTTTGAAGAAAAAACCAAATTAACACAAATTTGTGAAATTAATTGCAAAAATCTTATGAGGTGATGAGCTGAGATGCAATACAATCATTACAGTGTACAAAAGCAAACTGGCATAGTCGAGGCTGTGTGGGTGCACATGGCATTTGGTTTCCAAGGTGGCATTGATGTTACAAGGCAAAATTTACATGAAAATTTGTTCAGATTCCAAGTTGTTTGAATTTTGAAGTGTTCAGATTCTAGGGTACTGCTGTACTTGGCAGAGAAATATAAGTTTGAATTCACAAAGCAAATGCTATCAGCTATCCTCTCTCTTTAGACACCAGCAGTCTCCCATCCAGTAAAACAATCTATGATTAATAATAAGTTCATCCCCACCTTGTGCTAGCAGTGCCAAATATGAACATTGAGTAGATCACAGAAACCCAAAACGTCTCTGAAATGCCTCATCACTGAAAGATCACCCACAGAACAAGAAAGGATGAGAGTCAAGAATACCAGAATTAGAAAGAAGATTGCAAGAAGACGATGCCTGAATGACACAGATAGACATTAAATGGAGGGGTTCGGCTATCTAGTGAGAATTTAGCCAGACCAAGTTGTATATGAAGAATTTCATAGAAGAACATCTTGGCAGAAAATGAGAGAAAGACCCAAAAAATGGAAAGAGAGTGTTAAAAAACAGGAGTGAATGCAGTCAAGCTGGTGTCAAAAAAATAATCTAGTGAACTGATACTAAGAAGCTTAGCATTGGTGGGAAGGGGATAGAACACATACACATGAACAATCAAAGTTTCAGAAGCAGCTTGGTGGGAAGGGGATAGAACACATACACATGAACAATCACAGTTTCAGAAGCAGCTTGGTGGGAAGGGGATAGAACACATACACATGAACAATCACAGTTTCAGAAGCAGCTTGGTGGGAAGGGGATAGAACAAATACACATGAACAATCACAGTTTCAGAAGCAGCCTTTATCGACAAAAACACACAAAAAGGGGGAGCTAATTAGTTTTACTGTTATTGCTATAATTTGTGTTATATTACCATTATTTTTACTACTACTCTCATCATTTCTTTTTAAAATTTTATCACTAGTATTATTATTTTTACTGTGACTATTTTGCTCCTTGAAAATCTTTTTTTTTTAAATTTGTGTCTCTCCGCTTTAATGTTTTCTTTTCCTCTTCCTAAGTTGTAAAGTTATTCATGCAACTCCAAGTTGGCAAAAATAAGCTCCCCTTTTTTTGTTGTGGTTTATATTGATCAAGGCTGCTACTGAAATGTATGTTTGTTCATGTGTATGTGTTCTTTCCTCTTCCCACTCTCGTCACAGACACAGTTCAGTGGATTATTTTCTGGAAAGACAGTGTAACTTAATCCTGTAAAAAAGAGTAGCAGATACATCACTCAAGCTCCTTTAGAAACACTACCAGGTACAGAAAACCACAGCACTGGGCCACAACCTGGTAACACCATGATGATAAAAGAAAGAAGAAGAATTGAAATATTGTACATTCCACTATTTTTAGGCAGCTCTGGGAGTGTCAGCAGCATCATCGATGGTAGAAAAGTATCAGCAAGAAATAACAACCCTCAAGTTAATGCAGCAGCTTGACCTGAAGGTAGTACGTCTGTTGAAAAATGACAGAAATATATTTTGTTTCATTTATTTTCATATGACATTTTCAGCTTCCTTATATTAGTTTACCACTTTAAAAAACTTGGAGGTGTACTGCAAGTGCACACGGCAGTGGTGATCTCTAATCTGTGGGACAAGGTAACAGGTGAAATGGAAGAGACTGAAAATCTGTACCTGGCGAGAATGATACAGCGAGGAATGGCTCTAGGCGCCATT